TTGAATCGACGTGAAGAAGATCCGAACATGTATCCACAGGGTTTCTGCTGGATTTTATTCACCATTGTTGTTTGTGCCTGATTTGACTGTGAGTGGCAACTTTCAAACATGTTCCAACCGTGATTATAGTTTATGGACGTTGTTTTCTGTCAAAGACATAGGTCGCGAACGCATTTGTGGTCAAAACATGAGGCCACCGATGTGCAGAAGAGCAAATGTATCGGGAACGTCATGGATATCAACTGTGCCACCAAAAAGACATTAAATCTGAAACTGGATGTATGGACGGAAGAGGGCTAATCTACTCAGTCAGGCAACATGTCATGTCATGTTTATTATAATCTGTTTCTTTCCTTCCCTCGCTCTCTCTCCCTTTCTTTTGCTCCCCCCTTCTCCTTTGTGTTCTTTCATTTTTTGTGCCAGCGTATGCACACATATTTCAGATTCAGCAGAAAACCAGAGACATGTCCTGTTGCAGTATCGACATCAGAGAGAGCTTGAAAGATGGCTGTTCGCAGCCGTTTTACGGTTTAGGGGGGATTATTTTTGTCACTCATGGCGCCTGCGCCTCCTTCAGTTTGTGGTGTCGCCCGCTGCTGTGGCAGCGCCAGTCGTAGTTCCTACACTTTGAAATGTGACATGGCGGTCCACCACCGTGCATTTCTTGTGAAGGACAAGTCCGGCTGCGTGAGCTGGGCTTGGAGCACACGTGGTGAAAAGCAGTTGACTGACAAAGGCATGACTGTCCTTAAGGCAGATCCGGATGAACCAGCGGCTGCGGTTGCGGATGAGCAGCCAAGGGCTCCAGTTGTGGGTGATGCAGCCCAGGAGGCCAGACAGAAACACAAAGCATCAGATGGTTCAGTGCCCAAAACGATCGTTTGTGGTTAATTTGTTTGTGGTTAATTTTTGACAAGTCTGCAAGGTAAAGTTGTTATTCTACCCAGAGCTGATGGACGCCATTATCCTTCAACGCGCAAGCCTTTTGGAATCACAAAATTCCAAAACACTCTGATGAACAACGCTCGGCCAGGCTGTGGTTGAAGCGCCAAAGACTCCAGTGAGGTCCATTTGTGGCAGAGAAGCCTTCGGATTCAGCACGGAGAAAGTGCATGGCAGGCACAACTTTGGTGGCAGGAGCATCAAACGCATGGACTCATGTGTCGTCTGCCAAATTGCCCGGCACCACTCTTTCCGCGGGCCGCTCAGGTTTCAATTAATTTCTTTGGATGTCCGAACCCCCGGTGTTTTTAACATTTTGACTTCAAAATATGCTTCGCGCCACAACGGCGTGCACTTTTTCGACATCTCAACTTCCAAAAGTGGTTCGAGCATGGTATGTTTTGTGCATTTTCACTTCGAAATGTGCTTCGCGCCACAACGGCGTACACTTTTTCATCTCTCATCTGGCCAGCTGGCTCCGCACCCGCCGCTTTTGCGAGCCTACTTTTCGACCCTCCGGAGCCACAAATCATTGGAAAGACACAGTGAATCGCGACTTTCCTACCTTTTTGCGCATCTGCAGCTTCTTTCTGCTGACTCTTTCTCTTCTCTGATCTTCTCTCTTCTAATCTTCTCTCTTCTAATCTTTCTCTTCTCTCTGCCTCTTCCCTGCTCTGCTTTTCATCTGTCCATATTGTCGGAAGCTTGACTTCTAAACTTCCTTCGATAAATACTAATATATATATATATACATACATGTTACTCCCTGCAAATAGTTAGAGACACCGAAAAGACTGATGCCATTGCCTGGCGCGCCGGCTATGAGGAACTTGTGCAAATGGTGCGAGAAGGTCATGCGCCAGCAAGACTGTCGTCGCTACTTAGAGCTCACGGAGGAACAGCGGCAGAAGATTGCTGAGTTGTCAGCCCAAGCCCGGTCCAATTGTGACGAGCACCATGAGGACATTTTGCGGCAGAAGCGCTTCGCAGAAGCTGTTGCCGAAGCTGTGATCAAACGGATGCGCAACGCTGCAGATGCCGATTAATCCCTGCCTTCCGGCTTTCTCTTTGGTCGTCTTGGTTGTCCAACATCCAAGCTGGGGCTGCCTTTGGCCGGCAGTGACCGCACCGGTCCAAAGCCGAGCTAACTCTGTGAGCATCGTGTGGGACGATGAAAAAAAGAGCGTGTGCAGACAACAGCATGGCAAGGGCAGTGACAAGGACATGCACAAACCTTTCCGTGCAGATCTGTCGTGATTTCCTTTATTTCATGCCTCATGATCAATTCGTTAGGACTGCTGAGAAAGAGACATATCCGTTCTTTTTGCCTTTCCATTCTGCACTTCCTTGGCTGCACTCGCTGTGCTTTGATCATCTTAGACAGAAAGCAAGCTGTCAGATTTGCATGTCAGAGCCGCAGAGAGGCCCTACTTTTTGCCAGCAGCTGAATGACATAGCATGTGACGTGAGATGACATGAGGTACATATAGATAACAACTAAGTGTCCAGAGTAGCTCGGAAAATTCGCGGTTGATACGCGATTGATGCGCGATTGATGCGCGATTGCAAACAATCCTTATGTGAGGTCTTGCCCACGTATAGCCATGTCGCTGGCGGAAATTTTCCAAACATGGATCCGAGAAGGGCAGCCGCAAGCATCAAGAGGTCGGCGAGACCTAACTATTGCGGGGACTTTGTCTTCAGTTCAGTTTAACAAGTTAGTCAACATGGCACAAGCTGCAACTGCCCAAGCCTTGGGCAACGAGTTGGATCAAGCAGCTCAAAGACAGCTGGGCTCTTCATCCGCAAACAAGGACGCACGGAAGAATTGGAAACTGCGGGCGAGCAGACACTTTTTTCAGTGGCTTCCCGCTGCGGAGCAAGATAAGATTACCCCAGGTGCTCCTGCGCTGCGTACTGGCTTGGTGGATGCCAAGTCTGCAGAGCTATTGGGAGTAGCATGGGCTCCTGCCCCGGAAGGTCACCCGGCAGAAGCAGAGGTGTGGCTTCCGCCCAAGGCGGTTGAAAAGTCCACCGGAATGACAGCTGCGCATCGTCGCAAATTGTCCAAGGAGCTGACGGAACGCTTGGTGGCAGAGGCCGAGACGGCCGAAGACGTGTCAGCTGTACTAACCCTTTTGCAAAAGCAACTTGCCCGTCAGTTTCCAGAGTCAGCAGCTTCATCCTCAGACTGTCCCGCTTGCCAGAGAATAGCGCCAGCATTGGCGAACTTTCGCGCCAAACTGTCAGGCGAACCTTTGCATGCTTTTGATGTGAGTGTGACAACCACAGTTGATACGTCCTGCCGCAAAGTACGCTTATGGGGCTTGCCCATCTCCAGGGAAAAGTGGCGCCAAGCCAAGGCCAAGGATGGGGTCATCAAAAGCCGTCGCGGGAGGAAGGCCAAGTCTGACGACCCCAAAGTCATCCAGCAAGTCGTCGATTGCATTTTGCAACATAGTCAGGAGAGCAGCGTGTGGCTGAAAGCTGAAGGGCGCAACGCCCGGCACCTCACGACTTCGTTGTTGAGAGCTTATTGGGATGGCAATCTGTGCAATGTGGTTGCTTGGGCTCAGTTCCACAAAATCGTCAAGACGCGGTGCAAGTGGGCAATCAAACCGCAACGTTTGACAGACTACTGTGACTATTGCCACCTGTATGAGTCCTCTATTCTCCCTGGAGTTTCGAAATTGTTGCAAAGAAGCAAGACGAGAGTATGATGCCCCAGTATTTCGCTGGTTTTCAGCCAGCGCCCGACAGTGACAAAGTTGACGAACTCCTGTGTATGCGACGGTTTGTGCAGGGACATGCGGACAAGAACCGCTTGCAACGAGAACGTCGCCTCACTGGCCCCCAAAGAGTCCATTTGCATGAGACGGAGGCCAAATTGTGCCATCGTATGTCCTGGGAGATACGTGTAGCTGAGAGTTACCGGTGGCACAAGCTGGTGGCCCGGCGGCAAGCGCAAGCTTTTGAAAAATGCCTGCAGGACTTGTCTCCAACCCAGGTTCTGCTGTGGAGTGATTTTAAGCAGAACCTGACCATTCCAATGGCCCATGCAGAAACTGGGCTCATGTTTTATGGAACCAGCCGGATGGAGATGACCTGCTGGGGATGCATCCTTTTTCAAAAGCAAGGCGAAGTTCTTTGCACCAAGCACATCCTGGTGCTCTCTTCTATCATCGAACACAGTACATTGGTGTCTAACCTGTTGTACAAGGAGGTGGCCAAACACATTGACAATTTTGATGCCATTTCTGAAGTCATCGCCTGGAGCGATTGCGGCCCCCACTACAAGTCGTATGACCACTGTGCTGGCTGGATTGGGGAATGGGTGGAAGCTTCTCCAAACAGGACTATCCGTTTATGCTTTTTTGGCGAGAAGCATGGAAAAGGCCAGGTTGATGGACTCTTCGGTGAAGTGGAAGGGTGGCTTCGGGATTATTTGAAAACACCTGGCCGCCGCATTGCTGCAATAGATGAAATGGAACAAGTGCTACGCTCCTACGCGCGAAAAGCACAGGAAACTTCGTCAGGACGGCAGTATGTTGTCATTCGGTGGGAGCCAGATGGCAAGCCAATTGGGCGCTGGGTCTTACCAGATCCTGGGTTTCAGATCTCCAAGACCTACTGCTTACGCATTGTGCCAGGGAACCCTCGCTTGGTGATCCGCACCACCCTTATAGAAGACCACACTTTTGCAGATGTCGTGGGGCACGGACAGGCTCCGATCAAAACATATCCGAAAGTCGAGTGGGCAAGCATTGAGGACACCAAGTGGAGACAAGGCTTTTTTTCCAACCGACACTGGGACAAGAAGGTGCCTAAACAGGGAGAGGAGGACACCGTGATGAAACGTTTTGATGAACATAAACGTCGCCGCATGAAACTTCCTGATTTGGAAACAGCATGGGCCCGAACAGCCCGAATAAATGCAGGCAAGCTTCTCCGGCGAAGAGAGAAATGGCAGCACATGAAGGAACAAGCCGCTGCAGAGGACAGTTCGAGTTCATCAAGTTCCTCTAGCACCTCTCAAACAAGTTCAGAGGCTGCTCGGTAAAGTTCCCGTCTACATGTGCATCGGCTGCTCTGAAAAGATGTGAGCCACGAATACAACCTCCAAACAGTGCATAGAAAGATAGACTAGAAAATCTTGTAAGTAGCTCCTGCCGATCACTTTAAGCGGTTCCATCAGCAGAAGCGGGTGTACCCCGGACCGGAGGTATCTTTGGGGGGAGCGATCCAGGGCCCTGCGCAACTTAATGCATACCCCTAAAGGAATGCGTCGAAAATAGAACGGGGCTGGTGATCGGTAAGGCAGATGGTAAGATATCCGAATATATAGTGGCATTATACTGGCAGTCTCCACTATTACATGTCCAAAGTTCTGCTTTTGTTTTTTTTCCAAATGACAAAGGTCCCACTCAGGGGTCAGAAATCAGTCAGAAACCAGTCAGAAACCTGTCAGAAACCTGTCAGAAACCGCCCAACCGCAACCTCTCTCTCTGTCTCTCTCCCTTGCCTATTCCCTCACCCTCCTACCAGAACTCTTACGCCTACTCCTATTCCAATTTCCACTACCACTACTGCTGCTGCTGGTACTACTGTGAGTTTTCCGGACCGTTTCCGGACCGCGCAAGCTTGTTTTGCTCCCAAATTTGAAACCGAATGCGTTCACGCATGGATCCTTACTCTCATTACTAGAGTTGTTACTACTCTTAGTACTACCACCACACCCGCCGCTACTTCACCACCACTACCACTAGTACACCTAGGAATTTCTTGCCAGAAGCTTTCAAATCCAATTAACACGAGTCCCGCTGAAGGGTCAGAAACCAGTCAGAAACCAATCAGAAACCGGCCAAACGCAACTATCATATCTGTTTCCCCCCTCCGTCTCTCTCTCCCCTTCCTTTTCCCTCGACTGCTCCTTTCCGTTTCCTTCTTGTCCCAGCGTTGGTTGCCAAAAAATTTTTGTCTCCACTTACTGTCCCTTTTTGATCGGGGCCTGCCCTGGCTCCACGACATCTGCGCAAGTTTGGTCTTGTACAAGGGTGTTGCGGATCAGATGAGCAGGCGAAGGTTAACTTCCTGGCCACATGCATAATCAGTAAGTCCTGGTGCATCGGATAAGATCCAGCGACCAATTGCCTTGCAATCTGGCTCCCACCGAATGACAACACACTGCCCTCCGGACAAATTTTCTTTTACTTTTCACGCGTAGGAGCGGAACGTTTCTTCCATTGCATCTATGGCAGCAATTCGGTAGCCATATGTTTTGAAACAATATATAGGCCAGCCTTCAACTTTACCGAAGAGTCCATCAACTTGGCCTTTTCCATGCGTCTCGCCAAAAAAGCACAAACGGATAGTCCTGTTTGGAGAAGGTTCCACCTATTCCCCAATCCAGCCAGCACAGTGGTCATACGACTTGGAATTGGGCCCGCAATCGCTCCAGACAATGACTTCAGAAATGGGGTCAAGCGTGTCAATGTGTTCAATGTGTTTAGCCGCCTCCTTACGCAACAGGTTAGGCACCAATGTACTCACATCGATGATGTCAGAGACAGCGCTAGGATGCGCTTGACGCCAGGAATGGCGCGTTGCTTTAAAAAAAGGATTCATCCCCAGCAAGTCATCTCCATGCGGCAGGTTCCATAAAAAAGTATCCTTGCGCAAGCCGTCTCAGACACAGCAGTTCCTCCACTTTGTCATTGTTTGGCCCTGGCTTAAACCAGCGGAATACTGAGGCATCACGCTCTCCAACGCAGTCTTGCCATACTTGGCAACAACTTCACTTCAGGGAGAATAGAGGGCTCATGCAGATCGCAATTTTCGCAATAGTCTGTCAAACGTTGCGGTTTGATTGCCCACTTGCACTTGCACCACGTCCTACCGAGTTTTGGGAACTGAGCCCAAGCAACCACATTGCGCAGATTGCCATTCAATAAGCTCTCAACAACGAAGCCGTTTCAAACGCACGCTGCTCTCCCGGCTATATTGCAACATGCAACCAAAGACTTGCTGGATAACTTGGTCGTCAGACTTGGCCTCCTCCCGCGACGGCTTTTGATGACCCCATTCGGAAGCCTGCGCGCAATGGCAACTTCTCTCCTCTTTCTTCTTTCGTTCTCACTTTCCTTTTAGACGCTTTGATGCGCATCTCTTTCCAGGGAGTTTGGAATGGTGAGACCCAGACATGAGATGGACATCATGGCAACTTCTCTTTTCTTTCCTCTTCCGTTCTTACTTTCCTTTTCGACGCTGTGATGTGCGTCTCTTTCAAGGGAGTCTGGAATGGTGAGACCCAGACATGAGACGGACATCGTGGCAACTTCTCTCCGTTTTCACTTTCCTTTTCGAAGCTTTGATGCCCATCTCTTTCCAGGGAGTCTGGAATGGTGAGACCCAGACATGAGATGGACATCATGGCAACTTCTCTTTTCTTTCTTCTTCCGTTCTTACTTTCCTTTTCGACGCTGTGATGTGCGTCTCATTCAAGGGAGTCTGGAATGGTGAGACCCAGACATGAGACGGACATCGTGGCAACTTCTCTCCGTTTTCACTTTCCTTTTCGAAGCTTTGATGCCCATCTCTTTCCAGGGAGTCTGGAATGGTGAGACCCAGACATGAGATGGGCATCATGGCAACTTCTCTCCTCTTTCTTGCCAATACTACTACGACCACCATTCCAAGCTACACCACTTGCTGGGAATTTCTGCCTTCGCTTTTCCAATTGACGCAAGTCCCACCGAAGGTTCAGAAACAAGTCAGAAACCAGTCAGAAACCAGTCAGAAACCAGGGAGAAACCGGCCAAACACAACCATCCATCCTCCCTCGTCCGTCTCTCTCTCCCTCTGCCTCTCCTTCTCCGTGTCCCTCCTAGTACTACTAGTTCCAATGATAGTACTTTTGCTACTACGACTACTACTACTACTACTACTACTCCTCCTACTCCTACTACTCTACTACTCCTCCTCCTCCTCACCTTGACGCACAGATTGCCCGAGAATGTCCGGTTGGCTGCGCTGCTAGGGTTGATCGACACAGTATAACATGAGCGGTTTTATCGACTCATGGGTTTGGAGCATGAGGCAGCTGAAGAAAAGGGACGTGAGTGAGAGACGGCAGCAAAACAGGGTAGAAGACCGGTGTCCAATTTGTTGCAACCTTTCTAGTCAATTAATTTGTAGGGCTCATGCGTGCACGCATGAATCACTGGACGGTGTCCTGTTGGCCTCAGGCTGCTAGGGTTGATCAACATAGTATAAGATGAGCGGCTATTTTTGAAAGGTTTGGAGCAGGAGGCAGCTGAAGAAAAGGGACGTGAATCAGAGATGGCAGCAAAACAGAGTAGATGACGAAAACATTTTGTTGCTGTTTGACGAACCGCAAGACACCCATCCAGTTTTCATAGCCCGGAAATCGAAGCAAAATTGGCTGTGTGCGAGGGTTTTGCAGATATTTGTTTCTATGTTCCGTCACACTACCTACCACTTTAATATCAGATTTGGCCGTTGGCAGCCGATGGCAGCGGAGGGCGGCGGGTATGCTTCCTTACAGCTTCTGGACTTGCAAGGACTGGTGGGTTTTGTAGCGAAACGTCATATGAAACGTCATAGGCGATAGAGTTGCCCGTTGGATGCAGCAGAGCGGTTGCCATAGTGTTTGCTCTATGATTTCTGATTTCTGCCAGACTCTGGGGAGAATGAAATAGAAAGAGACCGCTTTTGATATTTGTGCGATGACGTCTTGAGAAATTTCCGGATTGAAATATTCAGAGCCTTCTTCCAATTCTCGCGGGCTGTGGTGACATGTTTGTTGGGCGAGTTGCAGTTGCAAGCAGATCACATTGCTCTCGCCACGTTGCCCTCGTCTCGACTCCAGCTAGGGGCTAAGGCGTTTCACGCAGTCTCTAGGCCAAATGGCCTTGTACGAGTCTGCTTTCACACTGCAGAAGCAGTGGCTAGACTTAGTGCTAGCAGGGAAGAAATGCTATGAGCTTCGCACGCAACCTTGTCGTCGCTTGGGCCATGACATTGCTCTACTCCAAAGTGGCAGCAATGTGGTCCAAGGTGCTGTCAGGTTCTTGGTCTGCATGCGGTTATCGGGCATTGGGACCACAGACTTTTTGACCAAGAAGTAGGTGTTTCCATGTGTTGGGCACATTTTAAATCTCTTGACGTCTGCGTGTTCACACAATTTGTTTGCAGATGCTGTACGAGTATCAACCTCTTAGATAGATCAACTCTCCCAATTCTTGCGACCGGTTTAATGCTCATTTTTGTGTAGGCTCACCGGGTGCAAGTGGCTCACGAAGGCGAAGTTGGTTGCCTGTCAGGACATGCACCTGGTGCCAGAGCATCAGCTTGCAATGTTCTTGGCTGAGAAGTCTGGCACGGCAGGCTGTTACGCGTGGGAGTTCCAGTCCCCGCGGCAGCTTTGGGAACACGGCATAGAGGTGCAACGGAAGGATGGCAGTGTGCCTCGCCAGCACTTAACCAAGGTACCACCATGATATAGCTATAGGTATGCAAGAAGAAACGTTATTGCAACAGGCCACAGGCTCATTATTGTTTGCAGTATCGGCATGTCCTTTTAGTTTAGTATCCTGTCCGTGTCTCCTGGTTCCGTTTACTTTTTAAAAAAATGGCTTCTACCGTCAGTTTCAGCATGAGGTGAACTGGGTCAAGATGCAGCCTGATGTCCACGCCTCTGTCTGCAGAGTGCTTTACCCAACGCCTGGGCATGACCGCAACTTTGAACTTGAAGATGTCTATGACCCTTCTTCGGTTGACCCTGTGTCTGGGCACCTTCTAGTACCAGAAGCTGGCTTCAACCGCTTGTTGAAGCATCTTTGCGAGATGGGAGAGCAGGTCAAGGACTTACAGAACAGAGTTGCGGTCTTGGAAGCGCCCAAACGTGCTTTCTGCATTGACCAGTCCAAGAACCGAAACCCTACCGGTAGCAAAGAGCCCTTGTTTCAGCAATGCCAAGGCTGTGGGGTCCCTCGATCCCGTCGGTCAGCCTGGTACCAGTGCAAGCAGGGAAAGATTACAGGCCGTTTCTGTAAGAAGTGCAAAAAGAAGAAAGCCCTTGAAAACAAGACTCGACAGAAAGCCCATAACAAGGGTCCTCAAAAGATCCGCGTGGCTGAAAATGTCGATTGAGCGCAGGTGACTGAGCTCTTGAACTTTTTTGGGTAGCCAGTGGAGGGGTTCGTCCACTCAAGCTTGGGGTCAGCTATCTCAAGGCAGATCTTGAACACAGCGAGAAAAAAGATTAGGCCGTTCGTAAATTGTCAGGGGGGAACCCACCAGTTGTACAAGATCAGGCGAAAGATTGTTTGCGATTTGTCATCGGACTGTCGTCGTAGGGCCTTTTTTTATGCTTGTTGATCTTCAAAGCGTATAAGCACGGTTTGATTCGGCATATGCTGTTGCAGCAATGGCCAGTGTGCCAGGCCCGAATCATTGCCTGGACAACAGATATTTCAAACTAGGAGTCAGACTTACCCTTTTCCTTAGTTTTCACACACGTCTGCAGGAGAGTCAGAAACCAGTCAGGAACCAGTCAGAAACCAGCTGGGCCGTGCCATCCATCATGAATGGCGTCTATTTTCAAACCGTTCTTTGTTTTTGCTTCCATGTTCCATTGAAACTGGATACAAGTACCGCAGCGGTTTATGATAGGATGTACTATAGTTAGAACTAATGAAGTCTAATTTAATTTGACATATGAAAGCAGATACACTTGGAAGCGAGACGGTGCCCTCATTCAGAAATTCATATGCATCGCATACTTCACGGACAAGTTGTCTCGGACGCCAGGAGGCCAGAAGTAGAGTGAAGCCAGTGAGAATGTCTTTTCCACCGTGTCTTGTCTTGAACTTTCCAGCAGCTGGGCGCGGACAAGTTTTCTATGGTACCGGTGGTATATTTTGGGTAGGCACGAAGATAGCCATTAGGTACCAGGCTTCTACAACCATGTATCACCATCGGTGCTATATAGCGTGGAAGTCTAGTCATATATCCGGAACATGTCAGAAACCAGTCAGAAACCAGTCAGAAACCCTCCAATGTTCATGATCCGGAAGTGCCGTACCAACCCAATTTTTATACATGGAATCTTTTTAGATTTTCCAGTGAGTTGGCTCCGTTGTGTTAACAACAAACACAGTCAGCCAGCCAAGGTATAGCTCTTCATGGCGGTGGCAGCGCCGCAGCACTGCTGAGACGGCAAACGTGTTTCACATTCAACCGAAATGCAATAATATTACTAAGAATTGGCATAAGATTTTTTGTCACGATTCATTATTTAATACATAACTTATATTTTAAGTATATGATCAGATCAACGAAGAACAAAACCCTTCCGCGATTGCTCACTGTGGTACCGCGGTTGCTACGCGATTGGCTGAGCGATTGAGGGCTGTCCGGGAAAAAGTATTTTGGACAACCCCCATATATATATATACATTATAGTGTCATTTTCTGGCATACCCAGGTTTGGGTTGGACCACTCAGCAGATGTTTGAAAGTTTAGATTTCCATGTTTTCTGAAGTAATAACAATTGTTTGTTTTTTTCAGCCCCATCTTTTGGTGCAGATGAAAATCCATGTCCCCAGCAAAACCCTGAGGCTGCCAAGATGAATGCAACTTCCTTGAGGCACTGACGCAGCATGGCGTTGACATTTTGAGACATGGGCACTTCGCCCGTGGCTGAAAAGAGTTTTTTTTTGCAGCTGCAGGTGGTGGTCGTGGTGGTGGGGATGCTGAAACTATATCTTTTTACTCCGGAAGGGTATTTCTGGGAATCGTCACAATGTTATTCCCAACCTCCCTGAAAAGCAAGGGGATAATGCCGTTGCAGGTCTTATCTCCAGGATTTTTATGGATTTTTGACATGGAATCCGTTCTCAGTGGTTTGGTGCTTTCCTGATTCGAAACCACTTTTCCCTGCAAGGGAAATCGTGGGACATCATGGGACCAATTGCCAAGGAGTTGTATGATGTATATATAATGCTACTTAAAATGTATATGTAAGAGACTCAGAAACAGGTGGCTCACATCAAATGAGAGTTGATAGAGTAAATAACCCCCAAATCACTCTAGTTCAGGCTGGCAGAGCATGATCACAGGTAGCCAAACATCTATGTTGCTGGATTGGTGCCAGGGAAGATCTACGGACGTTTCAAGCACCAGTAACTGTGCTGTTCAACCAATCCAATGATCATTTGTAGATGAAAAATGGCCATGAACTACCTATGATTTTCATGGCCATGGCTTTCAGGGCTGTGTTAGTATTGTTAGTCTACTGAGTTTACAGAGACATTGGTGCATCTGGAGGCACCTGGAGGCTGGTTGCAAGGCTGGTTGCAATCAGAATCCCAGCAGATCCACCAAAAAACACACCGCGGCTCGGCTCGGCTCGGCGTAGCATCTCCTCCAAGAAATTTGCCCAGCCGGTCAGGGTTGCCCATGGGGGTTGGGTTCTAAAGATAGGGGATGTGGCGGACCCCAAGATTTTGAGAATTGGTTCGATGTTTTTTTTCCCATCACCTCATTTTCTAGTGAAAATTTAAGTTTCCCGTTGGTTAATCCACGAGAAATAGGCAAACTGGGAATGTTTTGTTATTTTTTTGGTGGCTTCGTCCAAGCGGTTTGTCTGAACCTAGGGCACCCACAAAATTCAAGCAGGGAAAATACTTCATTTTCAGACACACACCCAAACCAGGAATGGTTCAAAATTACTGGAATCCCCGATTGAAATGCATGTTTAATACTGAACATTGCCAATGGTGTGCGTCCATTGGTACCCCATGTTGACCCAAGCGACCGCAATGCCTTTCCGGCCAAATGTTGGAACCCGCCAATTTTCCAGTCGACTGGATAGTAAGCTTCCTAGTGACAAACGATTCTATGTATCTGGATATTGATCCTATTGTACCATTCTTTTAGGGGGATCAACATCCGTGAAGTGACCTACTGTCCTATGGGAAGGCGTTGCGGCGAGACGGTGTCACCATGCGGTGGTGCTGGACGTTGGCTTGGTGTTCCATAGTGCAGGCCCGGTGATTGAGATACCAAGAGCAATGGGGTGAATGGGTAGGTTTCATATCTTTTTAATGGATTTACAAATGGTTCGTTGCCGACTGAATCAGTTTAGACCCATGTTAGACTCACCCTAACCCATTATCAAGCCATTTGAACGGGATGACATCCTGCTTTTTGCGAGCAAGGGGTTGATTCAATGGGGTGTAATCCCAGAAACCGTGGGAATTCACCATCAAAAGAGACAGGCGTTGGCCATAAATGACCTCGCTGAAGGCATAAAAATTGGTAGGGTAAGGCTGACCATGATGATCACTAATCCAATCTCCGGACAAATGGCTTTGCCCGCAGGTCTGGGGCAGCTTGATGCATTGATCTTAACGAGAAATCATGATAATCAAAGACATGGACATTCCAGGATATGTCGTGCCAAATTTCCCGCCATGTAGTGCTGTTTGGTGAATGATCCGCAGTAAAAACTGATGGAAACCATGATGGATTATATTACCGGAAATAGCAATTTGGGGCTTCAACAGTTCAAATTCTGAATTGCAGGGTGATTTGATACCAAGTCGTTGATGCATCTTTGTGTCATGTTGTTTCTATACCAGTTACTGTATAATCTCAGTGGGTCATATTACCAAGTTCTGTGGTGATTACCTGAAAATTATGATCCATGCCCTCACAAAAAGGGATTAGTAGTACTCCAGATGTTTTTTTTGTAAATAGAACTTGCTATTCTCGATTTCTGTTTTTACTTGGCTACTTAAACGTTCCATCCTATCCAGGACCATCCCACTTGATCGTTTTTTTTTTTTCGGAGATGCTTCAGGTCGTTGGATGTTGGGATATCTTTAAAATAGCAATTGCCTGGTTGGTGGTTTGGAACATGACTCGATTATTTTCCATTTCATATATGGGATAATTAATCCTTCCCATTGACGAACTCCTCATATTTTTCAATATGGTTATATAAAACCACCAACCAGTAAACCATAGTAGACCATAGTAAAATATAGTAAACCACCATTTTTGGATGGTTATTGCACCACCAAGCAGTAGCAATTTGGAGGTCATAGTGTCCGGCAGCGCCTGGGAGCCCATCGACGAAGAGGTCGTAGCATCACTCGTGGATTTGTCCACGTCTTTTGTAAACGTTTAGGTCAACGGGAAAACCATGGAAAACCCCCTATAGCAAGGGCTATTTGGGGATATTTTTGGGTGGTTTTTCATGGCATCTATGGAACATCCACCATTTTTGAGAGGGTGGGGTGCAGTTTCCAGTGTCAAACAAATATGGTTGTAATACCAGATGGTGAATACCATCTGATAATGTAACAAAGCTAATCGCACTAAATGGGCCGTTCTTCATAGCCATGTTAGTATACTGGAAGGTCATAAGCAACAAGAATCGGGATATCACGAGCGACATAACCTCTAGTCATCAAACATGGCGTGCTGGAAAATCCACCATTTATAATTGATTTTCCCATTGAACCGCCCGTTTATAGGGGGATATTCAAACGTGCCACGTTTGAGTAGAGGGCAATCAAAAAAGTAGACTTGAAATCAGCAAAAATCCTATACTAAAATGGTGGCAAATTAAACCTGTTCAGCATCTTCAACGGGTCAGCATTATATGTCCCTAATTTGCTCAGTTGAATAGCATGTGAGAATTGACATGTCAGATTATATGCCGGGATAAAATGGCAGAACATGTGGCAGTACATATCCCAGAAGAATATGTCAGGCAATTGGTGCTAAGAATAATATACCAAATGATAAACCAGTATACATATAATAAACAGATATAAATGATAAAAACATGTATATATATAATTATATATATGTATTATTCCCCTATCTCCGAAGATATGTTGGACATATGCCACACATGCCACACAGTGCAAATTTTGTTTCCTTCGGAAGATGTGTCAGACTTGGCACCTTGCTGCGACAATCCGTGTCCCAAATTTTGTGAAAAACAGCGCACAGTTTGACATTGCCATCCCAATGATTCTGTGCCATCATTGAGACAAGAAACTAAAAAAACATTGGAGAAATCAGATATTATCTCCCAATCTCAATATATTTGATTTGGATCTAGCACAACATTGAGAAACTTCATTGGACAATCCATGAACTCATAACAGATTGTGGCACAGGGCAACAGTCCACTTCTTGCGCCTTCAGTCTTTGCCGTTGGGTAGAAATGGTTGCTATACACCTGCATGGATTTATGGCAACCCCAAAAAAGATAGAAGAGTCACATCCGGCATAATCCAGCTAAAATCGTGCTAAACTACCTGTCTCTTTTTGGGGGTTACGATACCACATTCAATTGTAGTGAATACAGGCTTGTGACCTTGTGGCTACCTTGGTATCCCATTTTGTGTGTCGCGCCAGATGGACATTATGGCCTTCATCGATGACGAACCTGAAGGCATTTCCTTCATTCAGAAAGATGCGCGTTTGGCAGGCGCCACACTGGCAAGCGGCCACACTCAACCCCACGACAAAAAGATGTGGATATGGGTCAAACTTTAAACCCCCCAAAAAAGATCAAATGTTAGAGGTTTTTGTTTTTTTGTTTGTGTCATTTTTTCCGTATTATAAGGTGACCTCGGTTGAAGGCACACGGAGATTTACAGTTGTGATTTAGAGCACATGGCTTGACTGCATGTCCATTGTTTGTACGCTTGTTTCAGCAACCGGTGAAACCCGGGTGACGCTTAAAGATTGTTTCGCAGTGATCAGCACTGGGGTTTGTGCAGAGATGTGTAACGGGAACTATAACGGACATTCCAAGATGTGTAACGAGACTCGTTTGACAAACATCGCTCAGCAATGGCAGGAAAGTGGGACATTCTGTCCGCTGCACACATGTCATTGGACATGTTTGGAACATCAATGAAGGGACAACCCTATTTCTTGTTCCTCGAAAAAGAAACAAATAATTGTTGATGTGTTTTATCCATGTTCATCCATTTGAACCTCCATGTTCATCCGTTGCTCAGCTGGTTGCGGTGCAGACTGTCCAGAGGCCAGGGGGAAGTGGAATGTTGTTTTGTTTTAACCTCTGTAGGTGGCTTGAAACTGAGAAATTCAGTAAACAATTGAACATAAAATGGATTGCTATTGAAGTCTATCGAAGTAAAATCTGTACATGGAGGGAGGATCCATTTTCAAGGTCACTTCTAGTCCCTTATGCCATTTTGATGCAGACTTGCCAGATTTCAGTCCCGATTTGCTCCATTGCTGGGGAAATCCAACATCTCCTTATAACAGACATGAAGAATTCCCAGTTCAAGACTAATTGAGTGACCTTAAGGATTGCCATGTGACCCGACAATTCCAATGACTGTCAAAGACCACATTTTGTGACCGCCAGAGCCAAGTGGTTTCAGCTTCGAGCCGTAAGGCAATCAAAATCCATGAAATGTGGAAGGATATTGCAGACGTGTGACTATGTGTATGTATATGTATACACACATGTGGGATGGACCAATTTGTGGCTACATAAAGATGTGTCAGCCACCAATCTTGGGATATATGCAGCATCGGTGAGTACTAAAGTAGGTTTGTTGACATTCGACAGCATGAAATCTGGGCTCTTTAAGGACCAGAGGGGGCTGAAGAGCATGAGATGCCTCGATGGGCTTCCAAGGGGTTTCAATCATCGCAGTTTCTTTCACTTTTGATTTCTCATAGGTGCAGCTATTCCAAAATTGACAGCATATTTTAGACATAAATCCCTTTAACCAATCTTTAACCAATCTTCATCACTAGGGATTTTCTTCCGATGCTCGGTGTCCCTTACTGCGGGTCTCAAGCTCCATCGCTGGCCTTGACCGGTTACTGGGACGGCGATTTAAAGGATCGGTTGGGATCAATTCGTTAGTTTTTTGTAACCATGATGCCATAAGTATGGATGTGCTCTTTTACTGTGTGCTGATTTTTTACTGATGGTTTTTGTTGGTTAGCTGATGTTTAAGACAGGTTGGTTTCGGGGGTGAAGCATTATGTTAGAATGTATATTACTAATTACTATAAATTATATATCTGATATATATATAATTATATAAATATGATTATATACATATATATATATATATGTAAACCTATCGTCCATGACCTACGAATTACATCGAATTATTTGCCATATACTTGTACCGTTGTAGCATATAAGAACTTTAAGCCTCTATATAAAATGATAAATGAGAGGTCCGAAATAGAGAGGCTGAAATTCGATTTAAAACCCATTTGGAATCGAACATCACTGGTGCTTAGCAGGGAATGAGGGACCCCAGCAACCCATCCCTACGTTTAGCACCAGTAAGATCAACCCTATTCCCCTAGAAGTTGCTTGGTTCAACCTCCAACCCAGGCCACTCCACCGTGCACGTCAGCGCGCGCAGCCCGGGCAGCCCGCCGGAACGAGCTCTGCGCCGTGCGGCGCAGTCGCTGTTGGGCCTGGCATTGGCGCTGCCTAGGCGTGCTGAACGCCCTGGTGGATGATTGTTTTTTTTTTTGATGAAACATATATGATCTATGTGGAAAATTGATGAAAATCGTGGACATATCATGGGAGATATATAATTTAATGATGTACAAATTAGATCTATAAATGATGGTGGATGTGGAGTTCTGGTATCATACTAGCCTCTTTTTTTGTTGGGGATTATCATCCATGAGATTAGAAATTTCCAAGATACTTTTGGTTGGAACATGTAAGGAGACGTTGGGAAAATAAAAAGCATCAGAAATATGGGAAGCATTGATTTGAATTCTAGCATGCAGCATGTGGGAACCATGTTTCTGAGATGTTCCATTCAAAAAGTACTGTATAATTAATCCTGATCTTTTGTTGACATGATATACGCAGATGATTCAGGTTTCTCAGGTGGATGAAAGCCGATTGCTGATATTTCACCAGTGTCATTTACTCTTTTTGGGGAACGGAATCGACGCCAAAATGTTTATATTGTTTTCCAAAGATTCTATTCCAACATATTCAAACATGGGTTTGTCTAAAAATGAGGTATCGCTAAAATCAATCGTTTATCATCATGTCCCAATGAAATAGCCATAAAATGGGGTACTGTAAACTCCATTTTCAGACACACCCGTGGGTATCATATCTACGAAGTTCTACACCTCACCATTTCACCATTGAATACCCCACGTGACCATTATTATCCTTAAAAGGTAATGTTTGTAATGTAATGTATATAATAATAATAATAATTAATAATAATAATAATCATCATCATCATCATGATGGCAATAATAAACTATAATCATGTATATGATAATAATGTACTCACCATCATACTTCCATATCCCCTAGGCTAAATGACAAATGGTGGCTGCCGAGGCGCAGTTCCACCCGTGGAAGCTGCGGGCGCATGGCCCTGGCGGCAGCCACGGCGGTGCCACCCACTACCCAGGTGCCGGAGAGGTAGTGCATACCATGGCCGCTAAAAATGGAGGTTTGGTTTCCCAAAAGAATCAGATTTACTGATTTACACCTAGTAAAATCTTGATGTTTGTGCTTGGCTATGATGAAAAGATGAAAGATGCGATTTTGGGGACTGCGGGTCCACGAAAAATACGGAGAAGATGATGATCGCATTTCGGAAATTAACCAAATATACCATGGTATACTTCCCATTTCCCTCCACTATTTGGCGCGTGCGCGCCCTAGGATGCAGGTGTGCTCCTCATTGAGCATTTGAATCTGAACGTGTCGCCCGGCAGAACACCCAAGGCATAGCCGGCATAGCCAGGAATATTCACTGCTGGGGATTCTTGGGGGTACATCAGATATGGCTATGGATCAATACCTATTAATACCATTTTTAGAGTGATGAACATCCATAAATCCCAGCTATTTTGAGGTTCACCAGGGGTACTATTGGTTTTGACCCATCCCCATATTAGAGGGGAACAGTTTCACCGACTTCAATTGTGAATTGGATGGGACACCCATTGGACCCATGAACCCATGGCTAGTTGGATGAGGCAGGGTCGCCTGAAAACTGAAAGCTGTCCAGCAAATTTTTGAAAAATTGAAAGCTGTCAAACTATAATAATAGTGTTGCTCATTTATCCCACAATGTATGTACCTATAATCCTATATATATATACATCATTATATATACATCCCCTAAATGCATGTGTATGATGTTATTTCACAAAGTTTTGAACAGCTCACAGCCTGAACAGCCTGTGACGTGCGTTCGATGTTGTTTGGTTGGCCTATGCATGGCCACCGAAAAGGGGGGAGTTCAGGTTTTTGGAAGCAGACAGGGGTGAAATTTACCCAGTGTTACCTAAAAAGTTAGTGTATGGGATTTTCGGGGTCACGTTTGAGCCAGGATGATCACTACAGATATTCACCGTGGAAACGAAGTCCCAGATCTCAATGTCATTTGGATCATGCAGGAACCCCCTCCAGAATTCGGGGCTGAAAACGTCGAAACACCATGTGTTTCAACCGTTTAGATGTGCCCTTCAATCCAGGGATTTCAAGACCTACCCTCTGGCAATTGAAGATAGCTATGGAAAATGACCCAGTTCTAGATGTTATACCGTGTTTTACCATGTGTTTAACCATGTTTACCATGTTTTACCATGTCGTATCTATGTTTTATCCATGGCTTATCCATATTTTCCCATGTGTTTTACCATGTGTTTACCCATTAAAAGTAGTTTTTTTTGGTTGTCTCATGTCTTACCAGAGGGTCACTTCGCCCCAGGTCCAGCACACAGGTGGCATTGGAGTTTTACGAGGTCAGCCATGGTTCCTCCATTCAGAAAAGGGGATATCCATGGAATTCCATGGATATCCTGTCATTTTTCTGTCAACAAAATTCGAAGATCCGAAATCACCATGGTTTTCTTCCAGCGTTTTCACGCCAGGTTTCAAGGCCTTTTTTTTGGGGGACATGTTGAGGTTTCCACGGAGTCTCAAGGGCCCGACCTCCAGCATTTTTCGTTCACAAACAGTTTGCGAACTGGAAAATGGCCATAGAAATCGTGGATTTTCCCATTTGGTGGATCTTTCCAGTTCGTTGTGTAAATGTTTACCAGAGGGTAAGTACATCCGCCACCGGAAATGTTTGGTAACGACCTGAAGAGTCATTCATAGGCGCTCGGCTGCTGCCGCGATGCGCGTCGGCCAATGGGCAAGACACTACACAGCGCCATGGCTGCGTTCGGCTTCGTCACTGGGTGCCGAAAACGATTGGAAACAACGTAAGAATAGAAGCTAGTAACCATCAATGGTAAGTAAATGAATGTATATATTATAACATTATATAAATGATAGATGTAATTAGCAATAATGAAATTGTCATAGCTATATCAGAATCATATAGAATCATTATATCAGTTGTGGTCTTGATTTCTTCTAGAATTGGGCACAATGATATCAATAGCTACCTGGGGCTACAAGTAGGGGTATACCCGACAATAATCCACGATTTAGGGATGGTTTAGTCTTGTGGATCCCGCATTGACAATGCTGAAACCTATCAATATTTGAGTTCCCGGGGCATTTCATTTGAGATCTTCGACCCAATATCCAGTTCCTGTGAAGGTGTCAGCATCTCCGCCAGTCGCCATGGTTTAAAGATCGGCGCACATAAAGTCACCATTTTACAGCAACCCAGCAACTTCCGAAAAGATAGACACAGATGAATGAACATCTCATTTATCAGGGACCAAATGCTGCATCTTGGGTACTGAAAAAGGTCATTCTTTTGAGACACCAGGCACCCATGGAGCCCTGGACGTGACGAAGCCGAGGCAACTGTGGGGCCCTGACTCAGTTCCATACGCCTTCGCCGGACAACGAAGCCTATATCGCAGGTGGGATCCCATGCCGATCCCATCATGATTCGTTTGGGATGAACATGTATTCGATTTATCACTATTTTAGTGGGATGAACCTGATGAAACTCACTTTTCTGCAACCATTTGGGGGTTGCTATAAACATCTATAAACATCTATATCTATAAACATCTATAAACATCTATAAACATCTATAAACATCTATAAACATCTATAAACTATAAACCATCCATTTTGGGTGGGTGAACGAATTTTGATCAAACAACCCTGTTGTTTTGACGGGCCGTGGACTTAACCACCCCTGACAGTCTGGTCGTTGCTCTGGAAATGCCATAGCAGCTAGACTTCAACATGACACCAATTCCTGCTCAATATCTTTGTTGGCAACATTTGGCCAATTTGGGCCAATTTGATGCTATTTGGGGTACTGCCAAAAAACAATCCGCTTTATAAAGAAACTAAGCCAATGAAATGATCCGTTGGTTTGTTCCTCTCTTCATTGTGCTTGTCACGTGCAATCATCTCCCCAGCATTGAAAAGGAAAGGGCAATCAAACTGTTTTGATCCAAACAATGCTGCTACGTGGGGTACAAGATGCTACAAGGCAAAAGAATGATAAAGAATGGATGTCCAAACTTGGAGGGTCCTATACCAATACAAGATAATACAAGTACCAAAGTCAATCATCCCCAATCAATCTCTGACTGGTTGGTGGTTTCAAACATTTTTTATTTTCCATCATATATATATATATATATGTGTATGTATATATGGGATAATCATGGATAATCCTTCCCATTGACTCATATTTTTCATGGTTAAAACTACCAACCAGCTGATATCTCTGGGTCCGCAAAGAATGACATGGCCAGACGCGGGGCCACAGCAGTGGCGTGGCGTGATCAGCGTGGCCTACGCCAGCCTGACAGAACTGCAGGAGGCTGTGCAACGGCTTGAGCAGCTGAAGGGACAGGCGGGGCGGATGGCTGGTGAATTTCAGTTGGGACGCAGTTGGAATGTAGTTGGGATACAGGGTGGAAAACCAACTTATAAGATGATATTGGGTTGTCTTCAAATGGGGGAAATTGCCCACAGTGTACGTTTACTTTAATGGTGACAAGGATTACTAATCATCAATGCTCGGGGATTCGAATGCAAAAACAACGATGAACATGCTGAATTTCAGCAACACATATTCTGATTTAAGCCACAGAAATGGACAATTTGATTTATAGCCTATAGCCAAATGCTTTTTTGAAGCAACGAAGATGGTGATTTGTCACGAACAAAATGTTGGGCATCTCATTGCTGGAAAACGATGCTAAAATTGATCCCCGTTTGAAACGAGTATAGAAAAATAGTACCAAAATCCATTTTCCAAAATGGCCGCGTGGGACCGTGGGTCCGTAGAAAAATCTGGTGATACCCAAGTTTTACAGCTGGTGCCAGTGCTAAATTTCATAAATCAGCTTGGGTCTCGTAAATAAGATACAGACTTGTATATAAGAAATCCTGGCACGCACATATTCACAGAAACGCTGATTCCTGCATTCCTGGTTGGCATGAAGTTTGACTGCAATGAAAATCATCACCGAAATTAAAGATAGATCAAAACCATCGGAGAGGTAGAGCCAACCTTCCTTTTTTTTCCCCTGCTCGACGCACCTCGAGTTAGGTGCAGCCAGTCTGTTCGCTATGTTTTGTGGGATTGTGTCACCTATATCCCTCACACAGGTGACTGGCCCAAAAAGCCGTCGTTGCTCAAATCCACAAATTCCAGGTAACCACAAAACAAACAATCATTATCTATAATTAAAAAAATATCATATGATATCAAGAAGCCAGTTACAATGGATATCGAACGATTTTTTGTGAACAGTTGTTTTTCCAATATCGCTTCTTTTCATACATGACAAGTTTGATCATTCTTGGCAACAATGCCTATCATAGGATTCCAGTGTGTGCAGTGGAATGAGCTAATCATCCAAGAGGCCTGGAAACGATGAATGAGTCAGCTGTCCATGTGAAAAAAATGGTGCTTTGCGGCTTTGCATGGAAAAAAGGCACTGGGAATAATGTTTCTCTTGTAAAATCCGATCAGTAGTTTGGATGTTGACTCTTTTGATTTTCAGTTTTAGAAAACATTTACATATCTATCTACATTGTCTATCTAGGTGTAGTTTTTTTTTGGGAATCTCTCTACAAATGCCAGGCTGGACCCAGCCCATCCCACTCCAACCTCTGTATCTGAGTTCAAATCAGCGTTGTCCGAGTCGAGCTGGCTTCCATCTGACCCTGTGTCATCGCTATTGGTAGAGGCATCATCGTCAACAGACTCGGTAGGTGAGCTACTTTCAGAAGCATTTTTTCGCTTTCGTTTGGACGACGGCATGGCTCGCAGAATCGTTCAAGTCACCGGATGGTACAAAGTGTTTTTGTTCACAGTGCTTGGTGCTACAATGTAGAATTGCTTTGTCGTTATGTTTTTTCTGTTCCAATTTTATTTTTTTACTCACAAATATACAATTGGAACAGAAAAAACATAACGACAAAGCAATCCTACATTGTAGCACCAAGCACTGTGAACAATAACGCTTTGTACCATTGGATGGTCCGGTGACTTGAACGATTCTGCGAGCCATGCCGTCGTCCAAACGAAAACGAAAAAATGCTTCTGAAAGTAGCTCACCTACCGAGTCTGTTGACGATGATGCCTCTACCAATAGCGATGACACAGGGTCAGATGGAAGCCAGCTCGACTCGGACAACGCTGATTTGAACTCAGATACAGAGGTTGGAGTGGGATGGGCTGGGTCCAGCCTGGCATTTGTAGAGAGATTCCCAAAAAACAAAACTACACCTAGATGGACAATGTAGATAGCGCTAAAAACACACATATGTAAATGTTTTCTAAAACTGAAAATCAAAAGAGTCAACATCCAACCTACTGATCGGATTTTACAAGAGAAACATTATTCCCAGTGCCTTTTTTCCATGCAAAGCCGCAAAGCACTATTTTTTTCACATGGACAGCTGACTCATTCATCGTTTCCAGGCCTCTTGGATGATTAGCTCAGTCCACTGCACACACTGGAATCCTATGATAGGCATTGTTGCCAAGAATGATCAAACCTTGTCATGTATGAAAAGAAGCGATATTGGAAAAACAACTGTTCACAAAAAATCGTTCGATATCCATTGTAACTGGCTTCTTGATATCATATGATATTTTTTTTATTATAGATAATGATTGTTTGTTTTGTGGTTACCTGGAATTTGTGGATTTGAGCAACGACGGCTTTTTGGGCCAGTCACCTGTGTGAGGGATATAGGTGACACAATCCCACAAAACATAGCGAACAGACTGGCTGCACCTAACTCGAGGTGCGTCGAGCAGGGGAAAAAAAAAGGAAGGTTGGCTCTACCTCTTCGATGGTTTTGATCTATCTTTAATTTCGGTGATGATTTTCATTGCAGTCAAACTTCATCCCAACCAGGAATGCAATAATCAGTGTTTCTGTAAATATGTGCATGCCAGGATTTCTTATATACAAGTCTGTATCTTATTTAAGTGATTTATGAAATTTAGCAGGTGCCAGCTGTAAAAAAACCATGATGCTGACCTCATCCCCCGTTTCCATCCGTTTCCAACGTCGTCTGCAGGAGCATTTCAGGGATTCTCAACTGGAAGTGGGTCCCTGGGAGGAGTCCCAGGAGGACGACGCCAGGGTGAAGCTACCATTGGAAGATGGGCGAAAGTTTTGTTTTTTGTCTACAAAACTTGGATGATTTGATATACTAGAAAATGAATAGACATGACCAGTTAGTTCATTTGTTTTTTTTTTGCATCTGATTTTTTATGATGTACCCACTTTAATGACCGGTTTTGAGGTCTCTCATGAATCTCATACGGGGCACAAAATCAACATCGCAACCCCGCCACTGCCCCAATGATATTTTGGAAACATTGACGTTACATCAGCTTCTTTGGAAAACGCATAGCCCCACCCGTTCTTTCTGTTGGGGTATGACCATAAAACATCAGACGGGTATCATGCCTCCTAAATATCTCCAAATAGGAAGACTTATTTTATCTATTTTTATCTTTCTATATAATTCCCTAGCTATTCATATACCAATGCCATATATAACATACATGAATTATTCCATGTATGAGTGTATGTCATATAATTTCCCCTGTTTTCCCCCGAATAGCAAAAACAATGATAATGCATCATCATCATCATCATCATCATCATCATCATCATCATCATCATAGTTGGTGTAGTCATCATAGGAACAGTAATATCCAATAATATCTAACGACATTAACTTATGATCTCAAACTAAGTATAAGAATAATATAGAATTATGACATATCAAAGATGTAATTATATAGTTTGCCTGATGATTATATCAACCACAATTTCGTAGTATAATCATTACCATACAATGATGATGGTTATATGATGGTTATATGATGGTTATATGATGGTTATATGATGGTTATATTAATCCCATCATAACCATGGCAGCACAGGAGCTCCATGTCCGTGGCCCCTACGGCAACCGCTTCCGGCTCCACGTGGCCTCCACCGCGCTGGCGCTGGCGCTGGGCCGCGATGGCGAACGGTCGCGGCCGGGGAGCGAAGGAAGCCACTGCGTGGGGATGGATACCTTGACCCTGGAGGTGGAGATGGGTACTGCAACACTGGAGATTTTTTTGAGGTTTTTTGGGTGGGAATATGATGGGAATGTACCGTTATATACTTAATATACTTGAAAAATATATCTTGATATGGCAATAATTGATGGAATTAGATTGGGACATCAAAATAAGAAGCCCAAGAACGGATGGGAAGCTTATAGGAATAGAGGTACCATCATTGGGAGTCCCTGTAAATTCCATGAATATCATATGGGAATGTTCGTAATATGCGAATGTGATATATAATATCACCACCCCTTTAAGGCTACTTTTCACGGGGACCATACCAAAATGTAAGATACATTTTTTGGGACCCACCCTTAAATGTAAAATTGGTCGCTGAACGTCCCCGAGGTGTCGTTTTTGTGGGGAGGGTCTTCAAAATACCCTCACAATGTAAGCTTACATGTTCAAGGCCCCCCTTAAAAACACATTTTTCAATGTAGTTTGCAGTTTGGGTACGTCCTCCCTTAAAACGGTGGTGATTTAATCATGGGATATGTGGAGAACTGATCGAGGGTCCAGGGTCCAGGGTCCAGGGTCCAGGGTGGTCCAGGTCTCCGGGATTTGCGTGGTGTCAACTAAGCCAGCTGTATCGGTAGAATCAGCGCGGATTGAAATTGCTGGGTTTATTGATGGTTTATTTACTGCATATCTGAAGAGATATCTGAAGAGATCATAGATTCATTGAATTGAACTTCAATGACTCATGGCCATAATACATGCGTCCCAGCTGTGGCGCAATGGCGGATTTTTTTAATGCCAGGTCCCAGTGGGCACTGCAGAGAGAGCCGCCCAGTTCTACAAGGAGGCGCCTGAGATCAGCAATCAATGCAGTCAACATATAGAAAGTGAAGATTTTGCGACATGTACAACAATTTCACTGACATATTAATAATATTAATTGTCATCTACAATTAGATGTTTACTAAGAGTTACTAACTACTAACATTTACTAACATACACAGATCTTACGCAGTCTTTGTAGGGTCACCTTTTGGGTCACCACCGGTCATGTTTGGTCATCCATTGACCAGGTGCTGGGCTGCCAACTAGCTACCAGTGGGGACTGTGGTGTGCGGGCCGGCCCTGAGCTGCAGCAGAACCTGCGTTTTCAGGTGGGGCCGTGTTTTTGGGAGAGCAAGGACCAAAATTCTTGAAATGTGTGGAAATATGGATGGAAAACTCATCAGAAATCCTCTAGCTGGGATGATCATTTGTTTTTTCAGCTTGCAAGCTCCAGTAGTTTCAAACAGCCGAACAGAGGGATGTTGGAAGGCCGGAGATGCCAAGTTGATCTAAACCACCGATCTGCGCCACGGCCAGGAGGTGGAAGGTTCCACTGGTGCGGAGTGTCCTGGCGGGGGATCATCATGGATCATCCAGACAAAAATATCCTCACTGGTCGTGAAATCACGTCACGTATGTAGCGTCTTCACATACGGAAAGAATTCCAGGGTCCCAAAGTTGATTGAAATGGTTACCCTCTGGTTATTTAACAGGTAAACCATCTATTTCGATTAGGGTCATCTATACCATGGCTATGTTAGTCATAACCAGAGGGTATATCATGTGAACTGGAGATCGGCCTTAAATGGGTTTGTCATTGGGGTACCTAGTAGTAACCACCCATTTTCATCCATTGCCCATGACCTGTTGGGGGCGAAAAAAGACGCGTTTCCGAAGGGCCGAAGGGTTTCATTGATGTATCAGTTATCATTTAGATTCTCAGATGTCTCATTCGATTCCATGGGATATATGTATATAGTGTATGTGTATTATATATATATACATATCACTATATGATGTATGATATATATATATATACATACTATAACCTAATATAACCACGTAGTATTGGTGATTTCGTGGGATTTCTGTTTCTGGCCATGGAGCTTTCAGGTTGGGTGAGCACATGGCCATCTACGTGGCGGACTTTGAAGGATGCTTCCAACGGCTCCTGGACCGAGGCCACGGTTTTGCTGTTGAAAATGGCCATTGATGGGTTGATTTATCATCTGGTACCCTTTGGTAAATAAACATAGACCCTGAAAATCATCCATTTCTAATGGAAACTAGTCTTTCAACCCCTATCTGCCAGGGTCTATGTTAATTTACCAGAGGGTATCATCTGGTAATGACTAACATAGCTATTGAACATGGCCATTTGTAGTGGATTTTCCCATTAAAAATGGTGGATCTTTCCATAGCTATGTTAGTCATTACCAGAGGGTACCTCGTAAAAATATATAGACATGGGTGATGTGTTCCATCGTTTTTTGTATGACCAGTATCTTCAATGGGTACCATAAATTGTAGGTAATTCGTGGTAATTCCCTGAACTTGGATCGACATGGGATTAGGGGTTGACGAATAAATGTCCCAGCTGTCGACTCACAAAAAGTTCACCTTTGGGGTTTGGGAAACTCAGGAGTAGCGATGTGAAATTGTGTGAGTACAGAATCCATTTTGGCGGCACTTGTTTGAGCACTAGGTGCATGCAGCTGTTGGTTCAGTTGGCAGAATATCGGAGATATAGCTATATAGATCTATATAGTAGTATGTTGCAGTCTGTTAGAGCATGGTGAATATTCTCCGTCCATGATTTGTTCGTATGGCAGCACAGCTTATTCATTTGAAGATGGTCGATCCAAGGATTTCAAACTAAGATGACTCACTGTGGCCAAAGAATTATGTGTTTAAGTCTGAAAATTGGTTACCCCCAGAATCCCATGATATCTCATGGTTTAGCATTGGTTTATACTCATTTTTCCATGTGTCCTATTTTGAACTGCCATCCAGGGCTGATTTGGGTGAATCCTCGCTTCGTTCATTTGGACAAGTCCACCACCCTGGAAGAGGCGCCGCCACAGCACTAGTAGTACCCTCTGGTAAACGTTTACATAACGAACTGGAAAGATCCACCATGCTATGAAAATGGGTAAATCAACTATTTAACTATGGTCCATTTTCCAGTTCGCAAACTGTTTGGAACTACCAGAGGGTAGTTCCAAACTTATACTTCCTCCTTTTTGGCTCTGATCTTGGTTGGGAACTTGGTGTCTTGCGATCGCGCAACGGAGGCCTTGCACTACAGCTGCTTTCGCTTCAAAGATGTGGTGGTGACCTGGTGATGGGATGATACAGTATTTTATCCATAACATATTTACCCTCTGGTAATGACTAACATGGCTATTGAAAATGACCATTTATAGTGGATTTTCCCATTAAAAATGGTGATTTTCCATAGTTATGTTAAATTACCAGAGGGTATTTATATATACACATTATTGTATAGCTACATCGGTATATATTAAAGATCTCGGTAATTCCCAGCAATTCCCAATCATAATTCCTAGTAGTGTCCAGTAGTTCTCAGCAATTCCCCCAAGTTCTCTGAGAACAATTTTGGTGGAAATCTCTGGCCTGAAAGGAAGCTGATGGTCAGTTTGCCATGGAAAAGTCGACCATGTAACCAGTTTTCCCAGTCGCTGTACCGTGATCATTGCCGAAAACTGCTGATGTTCCCGTGTTGCCCAGGATGTGTCTACTGGAGAAAAGTTGTTTGAGCTTGAACATGAAGTCACTCAGCTGGACGTTGGCTGTGGCTGGTGTACCCTGACGAAGTAGTTTACCAAAATGTTGCTGGAATTCCCATGGTAAAACCCTCAGCATGATCATCAAAAATCTATAGTGGAAATTCTATAGCTAATGTCAACTCACTTTTCGGGTAAATTGTTGTAGTGAATATCAAGTCATCAAAAATCAGCCATTGGCGAGGCAACCCAGATTGGATCGTCCCCAATGTTTGATTGTCAAGAATGGACATGGAAGTGGATTATATCTCTCTATATATAAATATATACGGAATTGTGTTATGGAAACGATCATAAATATGATGGTTATATAATGGAAGATTGATTATATATCATACTATTTATATGATTGATTATATACAATATAAATCAATATCAGAGTATTATTGTGTTACTTAAATATGTTCGATAATATGGTGGAAGTTCATCAACAAGAATTACTATCATAATATATGTGCGTCTGATTGTTCAAAATATAGGACTATAAATTATCTAAGATTTGAATGGTCTTGTGAACATGTTGTTCCATCCAAGCATGGCTGGCATGGCTGGCGTTGCATGTGACCAAAGACACAGAGGAACCTCTGCCATAGTTTCTATTCAATTTACTGTACCCCACTGATCTGGCATTTCCGGTAGGAAAGCATCTTCGAATATTTTCTAATCCATGTTTTCCTTCCCTGATTTGCTGGGAACGAGAATACATTTGTTCTCCCCCGATTGTTTTCTTCTCACATATGTCCCTTCCAATGTTATAGTATACTATATATATCTATATATAGTATAATCTAGTATATGTTGGTATATTGTAGTGTATTCGAGTATATTATAACATAGTATGTTTTACTAGTATATTATAGCTATGTCACACTTCTACCACATTCCGGTTGTTCCCTTTTTCCTCCCCATGGATGGTTGCGCCCACTTCCGGAGGTGCGCAACACGCAGCACAAGAGCTGGCCGATGGCCTGAGTGGATCAGAAATCGATATGATATAAAACAAGGTGCTGTGAGAGCATCATCTGCATACATAATATATTTGGACATATATGTGATTTCATATAATTCCACATCGTAACTTCCGTGAGCAAATACAAGTTGGGGCTCTTCGTTTGCTGCTGTGTGGAAGCTGACAGTGCCTTTCACAGTGTCTTGTACTCAGCGCTGCCTGACACTGCAACCTACTGTATTTCTATGTTTTTCCAAGACAGTAGTCATGAGGCTCGTTTTAAGGTATGATTCAGTCTGGTTTAGTTTTGGTATGTTTTTTTTTTCGTCCGATGTCATCCATTTTTGAGGATCTAAAGCAGCAATGACCGATATGCCTCCAGGGTGACGTGAGCGCAACCTGTCGTGCAGACATAGATTATCAGATTCGTATCGTGTGATACGCTTGTGACGTCTGCAAACCCCAGAGACTTTGAAATAGCGAAAAGTGATTGCGCGGAACCCCGGGGTTATTGTTAGTGATCACTGGTCATTACTGGTGATTACCAGTGATGTCGAATGGTAGGATGCAATGGTTTAGCAAAGTGGAGCCAAAGTTGCAGATCCAAGCAGCACAGGATTGATTTTCCAAGTTCGTTATTTATTATTTGAAATTTCGGGAGATAGTCATATACAGATCGCAGGTACAGAAGACACTAGATCTTAGTAGTGTTATGCAGGATGTTCTACAGACTTGTACCATCTTGTACCCATGAATGAGATATTGAATGTCCCTTTGGGCCTTTGGGCCTCAGCTTGGGTGATTTCAGGTCTGTCAGTATTTCGACCGAACTGGTGACCTGTGTGCAGAAAATATGATACGATAACACGGCGTAAAATTAGACACTGTCAATCCTTCCTTCCGCAAATACCTTTCACAAATCTATATGATCTCTATATATAATTATAATATATATATATATAATATATATATAATTACTCATATTTATATTATAAATATACTTGCCCTGTATGGCAGCCGCCCTTGGAAGGGTTGTTAATTTTGAGATGTGCCATTTACGATCCCTTGGAAGGGTTGCAAATTTCAAAAATGAGGCTTTCCGAAATGGTGGTATATATAGGATTTGATTTTTTGGCGTCTTTAACATGTTGCACATGCTGTCGTATGATCATCAGGGGGGTTGCGGGGAGTGTATTAACGTCCTTGACGAGTACTTCCCTTACGTTACGGAACATGCACACGTTGCGCATGCTGTCGTATGATCATCAGGGGGGTGGGGGGGTGTATTAACGTCCTTGACAAGCACTTCTCTGACGTTATGGAACACGTTGCTCCACAAAAAAAACAACAAGTTTACAAAAAAGATACACTTGGGCCTACAGCTGGACATGGCGTCACAATGCTGCCTTGTTGCAGTCTGTGGCTTCTGCGTTGCCACAAGCGCTCTGGCACTGAAGCGTCGAGAAGAGGAAAAAATTGGAAGAGTGAATGTCGCCTTGATATTATTCGGATGATTGAAAATCATAGATTTCTAATGTTTATTTTTTCACCCTTGAAGAGCAAAATCGAGTCACCGCGCAGGCGAAACGTAAATTTTCACTCTTGAGTCACACGCCTGCCAATCTAAATGAATGTCCATGTTGCAAACATTTTTGACGACTTCTGCAAATACCAGCATTTTGTATCTTAGCCTCAAAAATCAGAATTTCAAAATCGTCACCCTTACAAGGGCGCCGAGTCAACCGGCTGCCTAGTTTAGCTATGTTTAGCTCCAGATTCCCACCATTTTTCCCCATAAAAAAACTCGGCCGTGCGGGGCGCAACCGGCATCCGCGGAGGAGGGCTATGAACTCGTCCCTGCCGGTGCCGAAGGCATCTCCTTCCAGCTCAACGAGCCACGCGTCGGTGATTGGCGTTGGCGGCTGGTTCTTCTGGACGAAAAAAAGAAAAGGGTGATAGAAAGGCAAATGATCATAGGATTATGATAGGGATTATCATGGGATAATGGAAATATAATGAGTTATCGCTATTTAGATGAGTATGATATTTCTCGTTTCTTTGCAAGCTCCAGGGCTGGCCCGCGCTCCTTGGATTTCAACGGATTTCGTTTCTGAATCTGTCCTGGGGTTGATATATATACATTGTGAAATTGTCAGTTTTGTGTGTAAAATATGTATATATATATACACCGTAAAACTATGTAAAACCAATTCAGTATATATATATATACATACATATATATATAGATGCAAAATATATGAAACAATGTAGATCCAAAACAAAATTGAGCTAAAATAAATGAAATAGATCTAAAGGATAAATGTGTGAACCGTAAATATTAAGAATGCTGCACTGTGGTGTATTGTTCTCCTGGTTCCCTCTTTGCGCACACGCACACACCACGATCTAGAAATCGTGTGAAAACATGAAACACTGTGAAAGATTGTGAAACTGCGAAGTGGTAGTGGTAGGTTCACTAGTGGTTTGCCGGGTAGCAAAAGCAGGAGCAGCAACATCCTCTTTGAGTCCAGGCGAAGTTATTTTTTAACATTTGATGCATGAAATGAAGTAAGAGTTGCTTGTAGTCATCATCATTGATTCAATTCTCATCCGTACTGTTAATCATTGTTCCATTAGAACTAGTGTTTTGGCTTGAAGGGTAGGCAAAATTAAGAAACGCATGTAGCCAGTGCAAACCGAAGCGGCTTGAGGTTCAAACTCTCCAAATACTGAGGGGCACGAGATCCCGCGGCTCCCCTTCATGCAGAGATCATGGATCCGAAACGGATCCAGACAGCGGAGTTAAGGAAAATGAAGCAAGATTCATGGTACTCGTAAGAGTTATGGTGGTGATGATAGTGGTGGTGGTGGTGATGATGATGATAATGATGATGGTGATGGTGATGGCGATGATGATAATGGTGATGATGATGATGATGATGGTGATGGTGATGGCGATGATGATAATGGTGATGATGATGATGATGATGGTGATGGTGATGGCGATGATGATAATGGTGGTGATGATGATGTTCATGACCGTGACTACAAGTTGTGGTTTCGTTTTTTTTTTCGAGCATGCGGTCAGCGCCAACTGCGCAGCTTATGGCTCTCAGGGTTTGGAGACCTATGGAGACGATCCAATCGGTTGTCCTTGGACCAGCATGATGGACACACCTGAAATTTGAAGGCTGAACCGAACCCCTAACAATTGATACTTTAAACTGACTGTAAATGCAACATGAGGTATAGATATTGGTGATATGGGTTTTGCAATCCCGTAGTAACATTCTTTGGAACCCAGCTCAGTAGTTGGGCTTCCGTGTTGAAATTCAGGTGCTGATAGTGGTATGTGCCAACTGCTGAACACATTAATCACTTGCAATGAAGTTTCTACAAAGGCCTGCGTTTGTCAAAGTGGTCATGTTCCGATCAACCCAACGATTGCTGAATCAGGGGACCAGCCAAGTTTCCGCCACATCCGCCCGTCGCTGCAAGCGAACATCTGGCTGCGGCTGGGAGCCCTGGGCATCGGCATCTCTGGAGTGACTGGCCGGACCACTTCCCATCTCCACATGTCTTGAAGGTAGAACCCCCAACGATCCCAACCAGCTCAACGGCAGGATCCCAAGCCGATCTCCTCGACCTGCCGAGGTGATGGAATGTCAGCTGGGAGCCCCAAAAGACCAGCTGGGAGCCAGCCAGATTAGTCCCTCTACAGACTGAAGTTCTGCAAGTTGGCTGCAGTTTTGGAGTTTACATTTGGCATCATACCCAGTTAAGCGTGTCTGAAAGCCTGCTGGAAAAATCTCATGTTCTCCCATTCAAGTGGCCGTTTTTTTGGTAGCTATGATGTGCAATCGTACCATTTTCAGACATCCCTTAAATATGTTAACGGTTGAGTTCTTCCCATATCAATCTATATCCATTGATTTTTTTTCACCCACCATTCCAGCTTTTCCAAAGCCGCCCAGGGACATGTCGCAAGCGCCGGGGATCTCATCGGTTTGCCCAGTTGGGATACCCCCAAGTTGTGGCAATAGGATCCACCATCCCCAATGACAAAAACCAATAGAAAATGGCTGGTATAAACTGACTAAATAAACCGCCAAAATATTAGGGTGGTTGAAATAACTACTAACAGTAGTGGGCATTTTTTTTTGGAATATAATGAAAGCAGGATGTCAGAGGTTTCACCAGCTCAGCATAGGGAATGATCCATCCATCGGGCCACCATTGGCGTGGCCTATTTAGTCATCATATCAAACCAGATGTTCCTAATGAAAAAAAGCCATGTTGCAGATGTTCTAACCATGTTTGATCTCAGACCTATTTTCGATGCAACACCTATTTGACCTATTTCATGTGGTTGGCTATATTCCCGTACATCATGGCTCCCCATGGCTCCCAAATTGAGGTGTGGCACCCAAGTGACACAGACGCAAGTCTTCAACGTGTCGGGGGCTCAGAGATGGGGGTTTATCATGGTTTATCTCCCAGAAAAATGCTGGGATTGTGGGAAGATGGTGTGATATAACCTCACAAAAATGAGGATTTTCCATGGAGATTGGGAGTACTATTTGGAGTAACTATAGTGGGATATACTGCATGGACATGCATGGATGGTACTAAAAAATCCAGCATTTGGATCTGTCAATAGGGGAATACTGCCGTTTGAAAATGGCCGCCATCAAACTTGGGTCGAAATTGGAAGGCCCAAGTTATCGAAGGCAGGTCGATGCCACTGATGTTGGACACGTTTTCTCTCAATTTTGCGCCCAAAAACTGCTGAATTAGTTTGTGTGGGTCAAGTCTTATCTTCGGCCCCGATTTTTTCCCATCAGTGTTCCGTACATTGCTGTGAGGTTTTTCAAAAAACGACCCCCTAAGGGGATCTATCCGCCAGGGTCTCGCAGAGCTTCGTCGCCGGGCCTGATGCTGTACTGGCTGGGGTGCCCTTTTTGATGTGGATCCTGTGGCTTGATCTGTCACGGAAGTGTCACGATTTTCGCGTTGACATCCCAGTGGACATGAACTCAACATGTTTGACGAGTCAAGGCCAAGGCCAATTTTGAAATAGTTGAAGTCGATCATCAATCAATCATCAATCAACCCAATGGTTTCCAATCATCAATCATCAATCAAGTTATCCCAGGTTTGTTACGGTCCCAAAAAAACAATCTTAGTAAAGCAATGTCATAAACCTCATAAACCATCCATATGGACTGATGGTTTATATAACCGCCCATAAAAATCCTAAAATGGTAAGTCATTGGGGATGGTGGATCCTATTGCTTTACCAACACTACAGTATCCCTTATTCCGACTAGTTCACTAACATTATCCCTTGTTCAAATCTAATCTTACCACAATTTTCCCGTGTCCCCGAAAAAATGTTCCCATTCCCAACAATCAACAATCAACAATCAATAATCATCCAATCAACAATCAACAATCATCCAACCAACAACCAACAATCATCCAATCAACAATCATCCAATCATTCAATCAACCATCAACAATAGTTTCCAATCATAAGCATCCCAGGATATCCCAGGTTTGGTCCAATCAATCAACGACCGCATCCCGCCCGCATCGCATCGCCCTGCACCGTGAGATGGCCATCGCCGGGGCGGAGCCGAAGGAGTTTCCCTTCACTCCCGAGACCAGTGAGGCGAGAAGAACGTCGAGACCTGAAAGGTCTGATGACATGGGGGAAATATCCTCTGGTTATGGTGGTTAATAATAGTGTTAATATACTGTTAATAATGGTGAATATATGGTTATTATATGGTTAATGATACCATCTATTAATGGGATGATCGGATGTTACCCTCTGGTTATTTAAGAGTTTGCCATGGTATAGATGGCCCATAGAAATAGATTGTAAAAACCTGGGTTTACCTATTAATAGCATGGTGATTTTCCATGGCTATGTTAGTCATAACCAGATGGTATCTGATATGTATGGACAAAAATTGGACATATATATACGTAGACATATGGAAATAGTTGGAAATATATTTTTACATGTATGGAAATATATGGAAAAATAAAGGGAAGATGATTCGGATGAACCAGAGGGTGTATCGGTATATCAGTGAAACCTTGGTGGGATCAGTTGGAATGTTTGTATGGAAACTATTGAAAACTGCTAGGGGAACCCCCCAGAAAATGGATAAGATACGATCAATCGATCATCTCTGAAACGGAACTGTGGCTTCAGCGGCGGTTTCCCTTCCAGGTGGTCATTGGTCGTCACCCTGATTGCAATATTCAGGCGCTGCAAGGGTCTCTTCGGAACAGTTTTGTTGCGTTCATAGTTGTTGTGGATTGGTGGAAACTCAACAGTTTCCTGATAGATTATTAACCATTATTAACCCATTATTAACCCATTATTAACCATCATTAACCATCATTATCCCATACTAAACCAATGTTATGTACTGATGTACTTGAATTGTTTTTGGGTTTTGAGAGTTTGAGACTTGTCCGACTTGATTTCTGTTGCTGTGTTTAGAGGTGTTCTCAAGGTTTTCTTAGGCCTTTCCTGGCCAAGGCTTCAAAGATGTGTTTGGGGTTCATAGGGATTCTTCCACCACTGCCCTAGGTTTTAATGTACTCGTTCACCTTGGATGGGACTTGGATGAGAATGATAGGCTTTCTATAGGAATGATAGGCTGATTGTTTCAGGGCTCCTACTGTAGTAGTTATCATCCAAATGGTCAGTGGTTGGTTGGGGGAGAGTCGCAGATGGTCATTTCATTTTAGTTGCTATTCGTTGATATACATGCTACACACACATAATATATATACATATATATATATATGTACTGTATATATTTAGTTGCCATTTAGTTGAATCATGAATATATTTTATACAGTATATATTCTGGCTGAATTATAGTGACCTCAATCATCCCCAAATGACCTTAATTCAAGCATTTTCAGGTTAGTGAATTATCATGCTTCAGCCAAATATACTGTAGTGTAGGCCTGTCTAATGTCTGAGAATAGGATAAATAGGCTACCACAAAATTTGTCATGGTCTGTATCAAGACAAAACCAACATTGGTTCGGAGGGAACGTGAAATTCGTAAAAGTCAGCAATGATTTCTCTAATCCTAGGGGAATTTTGTTGGATGCCAGACCAGAACCACTTATATAACTGGTTGATGTTTCAAAGCATTTTCTATGTCTCATCCTGATCCCCAATTACGTCACATTCTATTGCTATGTCCGCGGGGCCATGATCGATAGTTGAAGATAGGCGAAGAAATTTATTGCCGATTTGTTGTTGGTTATATCACCAATATCAGCTGTTCTGTCCCAAGTAATTCCTTTTCACCATTGAACACTCTCGTCAATCCATACATATCCTGTGCTGTGCATTGTGTTGTGGTAAAGTTGTTTTTTAAATGTCCCCTGCGTCACCATGTTTTAAAATACAAACAACATCAGACAACCTGGTTTGAAAATAGAGAGCCCCAAAATCCCATTGAATATAGTTGTCCCTTAGAATTTGGGTTATATTATATTGGCTTATTATGTGTGTGTGTATATATATATATATGCACCAGGCCCTGCCACCCCCCCCTCCCCCCCACCCCCATGGGATGGGTCCCATATACTGGCCCCATATGAGATCTTCCCCCTCCCCCCCCCTGTGGTGTGGTGGGGGTGTGGTATGGTATGATGGGTATGTATGGTGTGTATGGTCGGTCTGGTATGGCATGTTTGGAAAGTATGGTATGTTTGGTATGTATGGTAGGTATGGTATGTATGGCATGAGTGGGTGGTATTGTATGGATGGTAGGTATGGTATGTAAGTCTGTTGGGTATGGTATGTTTGATATGACAGTATGTATGGTCTGTATGGTATGTATGGTTACTATGATGGGTATGGAATATTTCCTATGTAAGGTAGGTGTGGTATGTATGGCATGTATGTTTGCTATTGTATGTATGGTAGGTGTACGTAGGTGTGGTAATTACATTTCATATGTATGGTATGTATGGTATGTATGAAAGATATGATAGGTATGGTATGCTCGGCATCATTGACATGTATGGTAGGTACGGTATATGTTAAACACAGGTAGTGTTGTCAGAGTACACAGGTAGTAAATAGGAAGTAGATACAGTAGATACATAGCACATGTATATATGACTATAGGTAGCACGTAGCTACTTTGAAGGAGTATGTGTGCTACGTAGGCCGCCTAAAAGGTAGCATGTATCTAGTAAATGCGAGGCTGGTAGTCAGAAATGCTGCAAAGACCTAGCAAATACGCAGCTGGACCTCAGAAATGCTGCCAATAGCTTGCAAATAGAAGGGAATTGGGGCTGCTACCTGGGGACCCAACCCATGGGGGGGGGTGGAGAGACGGAGGACGGGACCATATATACATATATATATATATTATCTCGAATTTTTGGACAAACCCACCAGTTACAGTTCAGATGGTGTGTGTGTATGTGTTTCCCTCCTTTGGAGTGCACTGAAAAACTGCAAGCTATGTCAGGCTAGCGACAAGCATGTGAGTTCCAAGCACTTCCGCGTCTACCGCGACAGTGAGAAACGCTTTTTTCTGGAGGCGACGCAATGGGTGCGTGGTGTTCCTGGTCGCTGCAGCAGTTGGCTGGTCATTGTTTGGTGGGAAAGCCAGGTTTTTCGAAGTCTTTGGGCGGCAAACCCAGAGGTTCAACAATCGAATACTGGCTCTCAAGAAATATGGCAGGCTATGTCACGTGCTCCGATCATTTCCAGTTGGATGTTTAAAAGACAATGTTTGCATATCATTTGGGATGGCTAACTGCCAGCTTTTCCAGTTCTCGTTGACTCCATGCGTTTCCCTTGAAACAGCCTGGTGGACATATCTGGTGAATGTCTAGTGAATGATGAGAGCGGTTCGGATGGGTACAGTATCCATATTCCCCAGATTTCCCATAGAGTTTCCGATGATTTTCCTAATAAATGGGAAGCCCGTTGGAGCTAGGAATTGAGTAAAACCCGACCAGTTCCTGTTTTCTCGTTCTTTGTGGGTCCGTCCGACGTTCACAACCGCGAGTCGCTATTGATGTGTGATGATGTTTGTATGTGAACAGCAGGATACCAGCATGAAACGATTCAGATTCATCAGGTTGTGTTTTTTTTTGCGAGTCGCTATTTTGTGCGCCCTATCTGAATTCGATATCTATGTCATTCGATTTTGTCAGTTAAAATCTACCTCGTGCCAGAACAAGAAATATCAATCTCATTCAAACTCATTCCAATCTATATATATATACACCATTATACAAATTATACACCTATAGTCCAAATCCTTTTGGAAAAAAAATACACGCGACTTCATCCGTTAACCCTCTGGCTGCCCAGGAGTTGGGTTCCTCTGGTTGCTTCATCAACAATCAGCTGGTGAAGACGCTGGGTATGCAGGGAACACATGAGGGTGTCGCCCCCAAAAAAATGGGTTTCGATGCACGAAAAAATATCCAAAACACCCATCCCAATTATCTCAACTTTCTTTTTGCCCAAGATTTTGCAGCTTTGTCCTGATCTTTCTCCCCTTCGCCCTTCTCCCCTATGTGAAGCATCAGTTGGGATCAGGAAGCATCAATGCCATGGTTCCAGGCCGAAAACCATCCATTCATTTCCCCCAATTCGCGACATGGAAAAGCCAAACACAAGCGCCTGACATATCTTCTGATATATGTTCATATATATATTATATTATATTATATTATATTATGTTATATTATATTATATTATATATATGCAATGTCTCGCATATGTTCTTTAAACAAATCTGAATGAATCTAACATATGATACATTTTGTTACATTTATTCTGACATATATCCGCACATATCCAAGCATATTTTCTGACACCTTTTCCAACATATATTCTGGAGGAGGGGACGAGTGTTTGACCCAAAATTTAGAGTCTTAGAATCTAAAGACCCTCACTTGACATGTAGGGCGTAGGGGAAAAAAAAACTATGTATGTATATATATATATTATTGCTATTTTGATTTTGAGGATCTTTACTCAATGTGTTTTTTAGGAGGCCATTGCATGGATTAATGATGACTGTATGTGTTTTTATGTTCAGGTGGTTCGTGCTAGCACGCGGGGTGGCAGATTCATCGCTAAGCCACAGGAAAGGCGAGCATCGCGCCTTGTGTCACGGTTGGGGCTCCCCAGTTGCTGCAGAGATCCCCAGTTGTGTCCCAGCAAAAGCCAGCGTTGATGGCGCTTTCCGCAACATGTTTGGACACTTTCGCGGAACAATACAAAGTCCAATAGAGATTAGTACATATTAGTGTATATTGGTAGAATTTGGTACATATTAGTTTATATCATATGAGTTCATCTTAGTGCATATTAGTAGATATTTTTTACATATGAGTAGATATTAGTAATTAGTACACACTAGATCATCATAGTACTACTGTATACTGTATTATATCCTATATTATCCTATGATATCATAATCATATTGTACTAACTATTTAAGGTCACATACTCTGGTTTCATGGCAAGCCGCGTAAGCGCCACGGGTGAGGCGATGCCATCAAGATTGCGCCCAACGTCACCACGGAGAGTCCCTTCGCCTTCTTCATCTTACAGGCGATGAACCATGACTGGGGCGTTGTTGATACAACCGAGAACAATGACCGGTGATTTTTGGTTGGGAAAAATATGGTTAATTGATGTTAATTGTTTGGGTTTACCACAGTTAAAATATGTTAAAATAGAAAATGTGAGTTGGAGCATGTTCGAGCTATTGAGTTGAGCAAAATCACTGCTTCGAATGTTTGAAAAAGATCGTTTCCAAAGCGGGGGGGTGTATGGGATAGTAAATGATAGTGAGTTTTAAAACAGTGACCAAACATTTGTGGCTTCAGGGTGTTGAATTCGAGATCCATAGCTTCGATTTTTCAAATTCTCCAGTTCTGGGTGATCGTCTTGGTGCATAGCGAGCCCCATGGCATGTACCGGAACTATTGGAAGATGCCCTCTGGTAAAACCAACATAACTCGTGAAAGTCACCATTTTTAATAGGTAAATGAACTATAAATGGGCAATTTTTCAGTAGCTATGTTAAATTACCAGAGGGTATGTCAAAACCAGCGTAAATCTCGCTTTTTGGGCTCAACAAAATCTTAGACCATCTCAAACCCATGTTCGTCATCATGTTCATTGGTTAAACGGTAAAATCCGCATTGTTGGTTGCTTCAACCGCCTTTACTAAGCCCCATGAGTTCAATGCCTGATCTACAACTTCGCCAGGTGAACCCCTGCGAGGGCAGTGTCTCGGACACGAAATGGTTGCGTCTGAAAATGGATTTATAAACCATGGTTTATTAATTGGGGGGGTACTCCCCAAATAGTCATTTCATCTGATACTTAAATGGTATCCCCCCAATTAAACAACCGTTTGGGGTTTATTAATCCAGGGTTGACATTAATTGAGTTATACCTGGTTATACTAAGTTATACTGAGTATTACAATCTGCTTGTAACATGTTGTAACATGTTGTTCCGTGTTGAAATCGCCACCTAGTGGAAATTTGTAAACGAAACCCCCGGTCAATGAGATTTAGCTAAGCAGGTCCGCATTACTGGACACAGTTCCCAGGTGCCTGGAAAGGCGACGGCGTGCCCTGCCCCCCCGACACGAGCGAGCGGAGTGGTTTCTCGGCGTCCTTGTGGCCATCCCGGCCATCCCCGAGATGGAGATCCCATAGTAAAGCCATGGGTTTCAATACTAAGCTAGTTGGTGGTTTGGAACATGTTTCATCATTTTTCCATATATTGGGAATGGAATGTCATCATCCCAACTGACTTTCACGAACTCATATTTTTCAGAGGGGTAGGGGTTGAAACCACCAGTAAGTCATGTTCATCCATGACTGGATGGTTGATTCTTGTGAAAACTGTTCATAGGGAAAGGATGGGAGAGGTACGGAATTTGACTCAAGAACCTGTTGCATTCAGAAAAATATTGAATGGAATGTGAAGGCAAATCACTATGGCTAAGTTTCTAGCACTATCCAACGAAACTGGTTTGAATTACAGTAATTCCTGGAACACTGGCCCAAGTGTACATCTATATCACATCCATTGCAGCAGGTGGCTAAAAAGAGTGCTCTTTTTGCACAGGCAATAAAAGTTTCATTTGGAAAGAGCGACTTAGAGAAGAGTTTCTCTACATGTCGCTGTCTCCCTGTGGTTGAACTTGCTACTTTGAAACCTGCTGATTTCCAGTCTTCAACGGTTGAAATTGGACATCTGCAGGCACTGGTGAAATAGAAGTACGACGGCTCAGTTTGGTGAGCATGGCCATGAGAACTGAAGAGCGGTCACTCGAGCAGTACTGAAAACTATGCTCCAAAATCCAGTAGGAACATCTAAAGAATGGAGAGTTGCAGGGGGGTTGAAGCATCCATAGTGATAAATCCCTTGTAAGCCGGGGTATGTTCCACCAAGAATTGTTGAAACTGGACCACTGGATGACTCACCTGGCTGTCAAAACCAGTTTCGTGGTCCAAACAGGTACAGGTATCCATTTCAAGTGGATTTGTGACCAGTTTGAAAGCTTTTGATTTCATAAATCATACAGGATCTGTTTGGGGTGGTGAAAAAACAACTCTATGTTTAAGTGGGACACAACTCACTACCTGACACAACTGGCCACGCCCAATGGTTTTTTCTCAGGGCATGCCCAATGGGAAGACCGAAGACTGGGTGGCTTGGCGCATGGCTGGTTTGGTTACAGGGTGCGTCCCGCGGTATCAGACCTATGTGATTATACAGATCAACAAACCAGCAGATGCCGCAACAGAGCTAGCAATACTGTAATTTGGAAAATCCAGAATCAGAGTCTATTTGGAGGCATTCCCCGAAAGAAACGCGCGCTGACAAAATGCAAGAATCACAGGGTCGGTGGCCAATGTCTCTTATGTCTCTTGTTTTCTGCACCTGGGCGATTCCATTTAGAGCACTATTAGCTGATTGGCGGTTTGGAACATTTTGTATTTTTCCATATATTGGGAATATATAAATAATCCCAACTGACGAACTCATATTTTTCAGAGGGGTAGGTATACCACCAACCAGTAGTGATGGTGTGGCTCACCAGCAGATGTAGCAGCCAGCATGTTTACACTATCGCCATGTTGGGCAGGAAACTACTCGTAGCCTATGGGAAACAATCATTGCTGAGCCGGGTGGAGCTAGGAATCCAGTTCCCCAAATGTTTTGTTGTCCGACCTGCAAGGTGACCAAACATTGGGACGTTCCCTGGTTCGCACAGCTGGAATGTTGTGAAAGCCTGGTCCGGATGCAGCTGGAATGTTTAACGGTTTCACCGTTTCAAAACGAGTTTCCAAGGTGTAGGTCGTTCCCTTTTTATGCAAAGTTGCCAAAGACAGGGAAAGCTTCGAAATTGCAGAAATGACCAGTTGGGAATTTCAGGAACATTAATGCAACTAGTCTCGTGTTTTTTTGACGGAGGATATGTGAATGTACTAAACATTATTGACCTAACGGGCTGATCTGAAACTTGTTGCAGCCCAAGATTGGCCATGATATCAATGATATCATCAAGTTTTCCCCAGAAAAAACACCAGCTAAAACACCATAAATTGTTGCCATTCAATCACCAGAAATCGCCGTTGTTCATGGTTCAGTTCCCATTTGTCACTGTTTGTGTTGGTTAAAATATCTGGTTGGGTGGTTTGTATTTTCCATTTCATATATGGGATAATCCTTCCCATTGACTTTCATATTGTTCAAGATGATTATTGCACCACCAACCAGTAAACCATAGTAGACCATAGTAAACCACCATTTTTGGATGGTTAAAACATGTTAAAACCACCAACCAGTTTTTGATGATGAACTGCCCCTTTTCCGCCGGAATCTGAGATTCGGCACCAGCTGGGCAGTGGCAACTTCAGCGAGGTCCGACTCGGGGTGGACGTCAAGGACAAGGCGCGGGAAAAGGGGTAACAGATGGCTGGACACACCAAACCCGGTGGTACCACATGTTGGGATGCAACCCCTATAACTATAGTTAATATATTGTTAATACAGTAGAATGTTCAGACATGCTGAGACACTACACATGTTGATTTAACATGATTTAACCAAGAAACATGGTGATTTGTTATGAGATTTAGTGAGATTTAATGGGAAAAATCGAAACTACCTGGGGGCGCAGTTGGGGTGACGTTTATGGTGTCACCTATTCTTAGTGTAACTTGACCCCGAAGTAAGTGGGTCAATGATTTCTGGATGGTTTTTTGCCTTGGGTGTTCGGAAAATGTTCGAACATTTACGATAAACTTGTGGATTGAAACAACTATACGACAACTACAACAACTATATATCTAGGTACACTTTAACGACTTGGGCCAATCTCACCAGGAATCCTCCGAAAATGGCTTCCTCCAAGGATTTATGGAACATGTTTGTGGCGATTTTCATCACAGGTTGGAGGTTTATGAATTTTCGTTTACCAGCAACGTTTCAACCACCGGAAACCATTGAAAAGGAAGCGACCAATGCTAACGTGCCAAGTTGGTTATGTGCCAATGTGTGTAAAATGGCTGGTTAAAGACCTTCCATGAAATTCTAGTTTTGAACACCCGTATTTCAGGTTGGGATAAAATAATTTTGACTGTGCCTGATCCTCAATTCCCAAAGCCACCTTTCAATCATTCTAATGACACCTAGTGGCACGTTGTTCTGGAGTTGGTGGATTTGCCCTCCTGAAATTGATGATTCTTTTTTGGGTCAAATATGACCAAATCATAGTTGGGACCCTCTTTATGTCTGGCAGGGAAAGCAATACGCGATGAAGATCGTAGCCCCTCGACCGCGGAATGAAAAGTGCACAGTGTGTTACTCTTTGTTTGGTGACAAATATTGAAAAGTGAACCCCTCTACCAATTTGATCTAGTTTTGATTGTGATAGATTCTGTATTCTAGGAAGCTTCTCAACTGCCGGAAAGGTTGAGATGGTTTTGAGCCTCAAAACGAACTCAGGGCACCTTTCACTGAGGACAAGAAGAAGTTCCTGCAGTTTCAGAAGCAGCGCGAATCCGTGCCAGATGCTTCAGTGTGGTCATCCTGAAGCTGATCCACAGTAATGGAAAGTGACCTGGGGAACTCCCACTGCTAGGGCTCGATGTTTAGAACATGAAACGTGAATTTTCCGGTTGAATAGAAAGAACTGGGGACTCTGATGGTTGCTCCAAGTTCATGTCCACGCCGGATCAAGTAGACATGTTAATTTTCCCCTTGTCGGATCGTTTTAGAACATTGACGGACCATGGCAGATTCGTGCGAGTCTCTGTCGCCGATTCCAATTGCTCACCCGGGCATTAAAAAAACCCTAAAAGAACCAAACCTGGTTGGTGGTTTCAAGTTTCAAATCTCTTTTCCACATTTGATGATGATTGACAAACATTTTCTCGGGCAGCTAAACTCAAACAACACTGTAACAGCACTGGTTTTTCCTAAGGTTGAATCTTCGTGATGAGGCAGATATGATGAGTAGCCAGATGCTCAGAAGGGCACAGGATGAGGAAACCATAGGAAACCCATGGGCCTTTGGGGCATGGAGTTTGACACGTTCGGAGCCATCCAATAAAAAGCGTGAGTCATGGGTCTATGGTTTTTCTTCAGCGGAACACCAAAACTCAGTACAGTATCCTGCGTTTTGAGTCTCCAGAATTTGTAGCATCTCCCTCTGGTAAACAAACAAGGCGTGCAGGAGAATCCATGAGAATCCACCATTTAGTTCGATGATTTACCCATTCAAATGGCCAATGATAGGGGAGTTCCCAGCCTGCCAGACAACCTCTAAGAAGCTGCTAGTCTTGCGGACTGAGGTCTTTCACATTCCAACATTGTCACTGGACTGCAACTGTGGTGACGTTTCCCCTGTTTCTCAAGGCGACAACGGAAGGATTTGGCTGTATTCTGACAAAACAAAGGGTACCCACTTGAAAGTACACTAATATACGATAATATACCGATACCCAATAGAAAACCATCCCAAAGTTCAGCAGAAATGGGCAGTACAAACATTATAAACCCTCCAAAGGATCATCATGAAGAAAACACATGAAAAACAATCTTGCACGAAGTTGTTTATGTCGCCCATCATTGTTGCTAGAAGCCACTAATTAGTGCATGGTTGCCCATCCACCCTCGTTTTCAGTTTCTAGAAAATCTGTCATTTTTTAAGAGAGTGCTTAAAATGAATGGGAACTAAACTTAAAGAGTAACTCAGGCATGCTCAAGCCAGTATAGGTACATGATAGCCACAAATGGGGAGACATTGGTAGTTTTACAATGTTTTACCATGTTTATTTGCCCAATTTACCACCCTTGGACCTGTTTTTTTTTAAAGCCCGGGAAGCCCTGTCCTAGGTCAAGTGTCACAGCTGGTTCCAAACAGAGGCCTGACTGGAGCATGGAGCTCTGGAGAGGCAATGATTTGTTGATATGTGGATTGATATGATTTTTCACAGCATAAACAGCATATTTACACTATCATATATACAAAGTATATGTGTTATTATTATTACTATTTATTATTATTATTATATTTATTATATTTATATAATGTTATATATACGTATAATATATATATATATATATATATTATAGTGGGAAAGAACTATTGCGCAATATTTTGGTCAGACTTGCCTATCATTGGAATAACGTGTGTGATGCCCCCAAGATGGGGTTGTTAGTGGAGCTGGCCCTTGTCCACCAAACTAGGGAGCCACCAAAATCCTACAGAAATCCGATTGTTGACGGATGACTCCGATGATCCTCTAGAGAGCTGGTGTATTGATGTTCAGTAGGGATGATATACTGGCTGGTGGTTTGGAACATTTTTTTATTTTTCCATATATTGGGAATAATCAGCTTAACTGACTTTCATATTTTTCAGAGGGGTAGGTATACATTAGGTATACCACCAACCAGTATATTATCACTGCCAGAATGGGAATCGCGTGCAACCTGGGTGTTTGTCCATACGTTTCTATCTTTTTGGATCACAAAACGAGAACTCCTGCCAGGCCAACATGTACCTTGCGTTGGAGCTTGTGCAAGGTGGTGAACCTTAGGGGTGGAAGAAGATGGAACCAAAGATTGAAGTCAAATGGGTGGATTTTGAGTGTTTCAATTCCTTCAATTGTCGGCTTTTGGGCGTGACTTCAGGATCCAAGCTGCCAATAGGTGGCAAGTGAAATCACCTCCAGTGACAAGTTCACGATGAATGAAACCAAGAATGAATGAGACATCAAACGTGGTCCCCAGAAGTGTTGTTCAGAACATCAGACATGTTCAAACTATCTCAAATCAATCAAGATCATCCTTTCCATACAAACAATGCCAAACATGGAAACACAAACATGGCAAGTTCTTGGAAAATCATCCACCCAGCATCCACCTGCCTTTACGGCCGCAAGCGGCAGGAGGCGACCTGTTGCACTGCTTGCTGGATGGTGGGGCGTTCCCAGAACACCAGGCAGGGGCAGATGGTGGTTGATGGGAAAATCGAAACCAAGAGCCAGACGATTTTTTGATGCAACCCCCCGTTGTGTTCTTGGTCAATGAAAAACATAAACGCTTGTTGGTCAACTTCCCGGCTTAAAATATGGTGAATGATGGTGAATGTACAGCAACCGACATCAGGATAGACAAGTAACATCCCACCAGAGTTGTCTAAAGTTGTGGATAGTATTTGTAAATCCAACATGATCCAACATGATCCAAGCATGTTTTGGTGACCAAAAGCATCGAAGCCCAACCATTCGAATGGTACACCGCGTGCCAGGCTTCCAGGCTCTTCCATCAGATCTGTGATGCGGTGAGGTACCTCCATGTAGAGAAACAGCTGGTGTGGAGCCCTGCCATGGCTGGGCGCATGTTGGTGTTTTTTTTGGGGAGGGGTTTTGTATAAGCCCAATATAAATCAGTATATATAGCCCATATAAACCCAATATAACTACTGGTCATGATTTTGGCAACCCGATTATGAAGTTTGCAAAATTGACTTGTAACTTCTGCGCTCGGCCAGGGTCCAAGTTATACTCAGATATGGAGGTACCAAACATACGAAGACCATAAATTTCAGCCGCGGCCAAGGTACACCGAGATTTAAAGCCTGAGAACATCCTGCTGACCAGCAAGGCTGGGAAAAGAGCTGCCGAGACGGGCGGAATGGGCTTAAATGCCCTGAGGTATGGCAGATGTCATATGGAATTGATGATGAACCAATGAATTTAGCAATGCTAAATTGGCAACTGTAGCGGGGAGAATGATAATCAACTATCAAATTTGCATAAATTGGCCAAGCTTCCATTTGAGAATCTAAAGTTGGATGATTGTTCCGTTTCCTTATTTCATCTTATGTCTAACAATAGTTGACGCCTAGTGTAAATGGAGAAGGTATTAAAAGATACCAGCAACAGTCCAAAATATCAAACACTGATCATTATTTAAGTAGGAATCCTTCACTTTGACTCAACAGGCTAGGTTGTAAGGACACCCTTCTACAAATCATCTGAGTAGAAAAATCGTGACTAATCGTGGCTTGGTCCCCTATGGCCGCCAGGACAGAGAAACGATGCTTCCGAAGTTGGCTGATTTTGGGTTGGCCCGTGGGGAGCCAAAGGGATCTCCAGAGTTGCCACATTGATTTCCCTCACAAAAGAACCAACCCAAAATCCCACAAAATCAAACAAATCACGGTGATTTTTCGGTGATTTCTATGGATTTTCCACATCACCATTCCTGCCAGCCCCGGGCCAGCACGGGCCAGCACGGCCAGCACGAGGCAAAAACATGAAATCCCGGGACTGTCGCACTTTCTGCGGTACGCACAGACGCCCAGAATCGCCCGGTGATGGAATTGCCTCGGAATCGGCGCACGCCGGGGTTTGCCTCGGAATCCCCAAGTGGGGGATGGTTTTTAATGTGGCACTTGGGATGGTTTTCACCAATCATCACCAATCATTAATGGTGATTAATAATCATAGTGATTCATAGTGATTAATAATCATTAATGGGATTTATAATCTAAACTGATTGAAATGTAAATATGTATTCTTTGTATATGTATATTTGAGATTTTCAGCCACTAAAATGTTGATTATGTATACTTTGAAATACGGTAGCGTAGCGAAATTTAAATATGTGGAGGGCGGGCCAGACTACAAGGCACCGGAGGTAGTATGAAACACGAGTTCCATCTGTATATTTTAATGTATTTTTGAATGTATAGTTAAATAAATTGGATTCCCTATGTTTAAATGGCCGGGCGGGCCAAGGAAAGCCTTCCGGAAGTAGTCTAAAATACCAGTTCGTATATTTAAAAATCTGTATATTTAGATGTAGTAACCGTATCAAACGTCCCGCCTCCATTGTTTTTTATCATGTTGATTTGAGGTATTTAAAGTTGATCTGGCTCCAGGAACTGCTCATGGGTGCTCATGGGTGCTCTTAAGCTACAGGTCGAAGCAGCACAGCTACTGGGTGAGATGATTATCCAAGTAGGAAATTGTTGTTGATGCGAATGGTGCTATTTTTTTGGTGTTGATATGTGTTGATTTCATGATTGGTGTTAATTAATGGTCAACCCCATGTCTGGACAACCCCAGACATGCCAAAATCCGGTGCTGGAAAAAACCGGTGGCAAGGCCACACTATTTCGCCCCAGAGGTCATCACAACTGCCAGGTGCCAGTGAGATGAGTCGCGATGAGTCGCATCACGATACAGATCGATACATGGAATTTCTATAGATAATATATGATATCTGACAATATATATATACATATATATATATAGATAATTACATTGAATACATAGAGTATATATATATACACATATATATTTATATTGGATGTGGAAAATGGATGAGAATGGATGAGAATGGGTTAAGCCCGTCCAAACACCACAGACGTGAGCTGCGCTATGAATCATGGATTCATCCCCTCTGCGCGGCTGCGCAGTAGTTCTGACTCCAAGAATGCCGGTTATGGGAAGCAGGTGGATATGTTCGGATCCTCAGCTGGTTTGCGAAGGTGAAGGGTATGAAGATGGATGAAGTACATTTTTCATGAACACGATATGGAAGGATATGGAAGGAACATGTCCCGAAAATCAGGTACTGGGCCCAGTAGCATCACAGCACTTCAGAAACCTGATGAAGTTGGCTTCCCACCACCAGATTGTCGAGGTGGAGCCTGGGGGTCATCCTCTATATCCTCCTGAGCGGCATCCCACCCTTTGAGGCGCTGCGTAAACAGAAGTTGGTTGGGCTTGACCCAAGGGAAACCGGGATCTTTCAACGGGCGCATGCGTCACAATCTTTCATGATTGTCTATGAAATTCTGTTGCCGCATCATGCCTAGAAGCATGTAGAAGTGAAGTGAGAGGATGAAATCAAGTGACTTTCGCACGTGTTTGGGGTTTTGGTGTTCAACAGAGAAACCACAGATCTTTGGTCCGATGACATGGGTATGTTTTCCCGGCCATGTGTACGTGGTGCGGTGTAGCACCCTGCGGCACGTCAAGGAGGAGCAGCTGTATCGTCAAATTCTGGATGGGAAGTACGAATTCGATGTCGGGAAGCCAAGCAAAAAAACTGTGAAAGTGTGTCCAACGATAATCATCCTGAAATGGATACTTGTAGTGGATGAGAAATGATGAGAAACACGTGAAAAGAATCTGGTGAAGGTTGCACCTAGTGGAGTTGGTGAAGGTTGCCTATTAGGCCCAGAAAGTTATGAACAATGATGGGAATGATTCGCCTCAATCAATGTCCACAAAACACGGTTGCAACACGTTGTCACTTCCTTTTTAGATGGTCTTCAGGACGAGTGTTTTGAAGGGTTCGGGTATATGTTTCCTTGAACCATGTGAATCTGCAGTGATCAAGATAGGGTTTACCATGGTTTACCTCCAAATCCCATGGTTTACAACCTCAATTTCCCTATCCAAATATATATATATAATATATATATATATAATATATTATATAATATTATATATATATTATATTAATATAATATATATATACATATATATATACATATATATATATACAGTCACCGACAGAATTATGGAAAAAAAACACGTTTCAATTTACAGGCGCCGCCTGTCTATGATAGAAAAGTTACGAACCTTTTTTTTCCATAATTATTGTTTCCATAATTATTTTTTTCCATAATTCTGTCGGTGACTGTATGTCCATCGATTCGCAATTTGAATGCATTTTAAGGGGGAATATTGAATTATAGAAAATATGTGTCTAAAGATCTGGTATATGCCCCTAAGTTTTCCATTGATATACATAATATCATGTGATGTTCGCAATTTGAATGCATTTTAAGGGGGAATATTGAATTATAGAAAATATGTGTCTAAAGATCTGGTATATGCCCCTAAAGCCTGCCATTGATATACATAATATCTGGATGTTTCCTTTTGCCAAGCCACCAATTGGGTTGACACTACATACTTGCATTTGCATACATATTTCCATAACCCCAAAAAAAACGGGTTTGAATTGTGGATCCATGACATGTCCAACAGGTGGAGCCCCAAACATTAATTATGGAAAAAATAATTATGGAAAAACCGGTCAATCTGCCCTAGCCCCCTGATTTCACAGGAAAAATCAATTATGGAAATAATGGCCACCTCCAAGAATTATGGAAAAAAAAAAGGTTCGGATCACTTCCGGGATATTTTGAACCCTTATGGGGGGAAAAATCCAATTATGGAAAAATCGGACGCAGGCGCCGCCTGTCTAAGTTGAATGTTTTATTTTTTTCCATAATTCTGTCGGTGACCATATATATATATATCCCATTTTCAGACACCTTCAAATGGCCCAAAAATGTCCGATGAGTTTGTGCAGTTTCGTTCTGATGAGAACGGATGGTTGCTTCCCTGTCTCTAAAAACAGTTCGGCATGGGCGAACATGACGTTGAAGGGGCGCTTGATTTGAATTTCCCATTTTCTCCCTGAAATGGGTTGGACATAGACCCCAAGCCCAATTCAAAATTTGAGGATACCCTCTGGTAAACTAACATAACCATGGAAAATCACCATTTTAATGGGTAAATCACTTATAAATGGGCAATTTTCAATAGCAAACTGTTACATTGGATGAAGCCAACATTCCCAAAACACCTAAATGCCACCAGGTCGAGGAGTGGAATTGCGTCTCCCCAGAGGCTGTGCATGGCTGTGCGGACCTGGATATGTGGGGTTCAACCTTGGATCCTTAGATGGCTTAAAGTACTTTAATCATCTTTGATCTTTCGTTAATGGTGAAATATAATACCTGGTTGGTGCTTTGGAACCATGGAATTTTGAATGACTTTCCATATATTGGGATGAATAATCATCCCAACTGACGAACTCATAGTTTTCAGAGGGGTAGGTATACCACCAACCAGTGAAATATCATACTGCTTACCACATGTTCTTCTGGGTATCTAGGGCTGGGCATGTGAAAATAGAGTTTGCATGTTTACATAGGGAAACTGATGATACACCATGGGATTTGTTGGGTCCAATCCTCGTTTCTCAGATGCTTCGAAAAATGGTTGAACATGGGTAAGTTTGGACCCACAACTCAGATTCCCAAGAAAAGTTGAGCATTCCAATGATACAGAACAACATCTCCTACTCTGGCCTATTATAGCTATTTGCTTGGCCTATTTGCTTGGCCCAGACTGGCCGATCGCCCAGCAGTTCGCCTCGAGGCAAAGCAGTTCGTGACCAGCATGATGACGGTGAATCCCATGGAGCGGATCGATATCAATCAGGCGCTGTAAACACTGGGTGCTTCAACGGTGCGTCAAGGGCTGAAATTTATGTTGAAATGACCAGAAATAACATGATAAAAATGACCAGAAAGTGTCGCGACACTGAACAACATGGCCAGAAATGGTGAATTTTATTCAAATTTGGTTGGTCCTTCAGAGGGGACTTCAACATGGTCAAGTCCTTGGGATACCATACTGGACTCACAACGTTCAGCTGAAAAAAGGATACGGACTGCAGGAATCTAACAAGGATATGGAGGATTGCCCCCAAAAAAACAGATTTAACCTGTTGAACATTCAAACATTGTGATTTTCCAGAGATATATGAAATTAACATAAATTAACAAAGGGTAAGAAACGACAAGCCAACCAGCAACCAGTTTGGAGGGTAGTCATTGTGACTCATACAGGGATCTGCCGCGCAGGATTCCCCTGTCGATTGGTTATTATAAAGATTTATAAAGCATATATAAAGCATTATATATACTACCTGGTTGTTTGGGAATTACGAACTCACCCGTAGTGGGGAAAGCTATCGACCAAAAATGTTAGTTTTCATGTTCCCGGTGTTTTCGTTTGATTGTATGATATATTCCATGATATTCCATGAGATGATCATCACACATTTTTTGTGCTGTGTTTTTTCGCTGCTTAGATCATACTTCCACCATTCCAAACCCATCCAAACCCAACCAGGCCGTGGACCATCCATGGTTTAAGATTTCCAGGCGTTGAGGGCTGCGTGCGGAGTTTGGTGAAGACTGGTGAAGACTGGTGAAGATTGGTGAAGATTGGTGAAGATTGGTGAAGGTTGGTAAAAAGGTTATGATATATATATATATATATAGTTCGTTTGCAACTTTTCCGGAGCATCTTGATAGATGCTGTTCCATGCTGTTCCTGGGTGTGTGTCAATGGAGGAGACCCCAAAATGCTCCGATTTTTTGTGATTTTTCCATTGGACATTTGATCCTAAAAACATTGGAGGCTTCGAAGAAGAATGAAGGATTCGACCCGAAACCAAATCTGGGTGGTGGTTTGGAACATTTTTTCATGACTTTCCATATATTGAGAATAATAACCCCAACTGACTTTCATATGTTTCAGAGGGGTAGGGCTCAACCACCAACCAGAAATATATCCAAACACTGGGTTGAAATCCCCTCGAGATGGTCGTGTCGTGTTTTTCGACCCCTAAGATCCGCCACTGAGTTCGCGTGGCAGGTTTTGCACGCCTACCCGCTCCAATGTCGAGCCGGGGGGTTTCTTGGCGGCCCAATGCCGCCCAATGGCGGTCGGGCCCGGATCAACAGAATCCAGCATTCAGAAAACAATCGTTTTTTGGGCCCCAAAAAAGATAGAAAAGTGAACCATCACAAATCAATTACAGAAAATGACTCATTTATATTCATTTATATTTATAGTCATCCCCATCATAAAAGTGAAGCTGCACGAATGGGGTTTTACCTTTCTATCTTTTGGGGGATGACTATAAATGACTCATAGAAAAGTGGGGAAAGCACTTCAATGATTTAAAATCTGTGAGAAGCTCCCATGTGCGTCCGACTCTGCCATAATGCACGTGAGTCAAGAACGCATCGAGTCTCAACCACTGTGGTCAGGTCCCCATTACTCAAGATTTGGACCCGCCGAGGTCGTTCCTTCGCAGAGGACTCTGCAGGGTGGAAATAGGCATGTTGTGCCAAGCTTGATGGGTAGCAGCCCTCGGTGAAAGAATACAATGGACGATACTCCAAGTACTGATTATCATTTGGTCTGATCTAGATACAGTAGGTAGATAGATAGATACAGATAAATAAGATAGATAGCTATGTATATATATATATACACTGTATATATATTCAGTATATATATATACTGTATATATTCAGTATATATATATATATTCAGTATATATATATATACACTGTATATATTCAGTATATATATATACACAGTATATATATATACATACACGTATGTTTATCCATGCATATGCCTCTTTGTATACTCACCAAGCCTCAGCAGTGTATCTCAGCTCTGGAAAGAAATGGACCAAGAGACGTCAGGCCGTGCCTGGAATCCCGTGCAAGCGGCCGTAAATTTCAGGACATTGAAATATCTATGGTATATATTAACTAATTAGTTTATCTAGGGATATCTAGGCTTTGTTTTTTCAGACTCTATTGGCTTTGGATAAAATAGTCTGGAAAGGACTTTTTCATATATGGGCATTGAAATGTGCCGCCGATATGTGATTGATTTATCATGATATAGCTGGTGAAAGGAGGTGTCCAACACCACAACCACACCCCCCCTCGAATCCCGAGACAAAACATGCAAGGAAAAACGTGGTATTTCTTATGTGTTCCTTGTGAAATCCTCAATTCCTGAGTTCCACCATGACTTTCAGGAGTGTATTGATTGCCCACATTGTTGATATGTCCCAACCTCCCAGAATGAATTGCTTGAAGGGAAAGCGTGCAGGTGAAAAAACCCAACCAATTTTGGGGCAAAAACCCTGATTTCAACCCTAGATTTCCCCTTAAACCAGTCCAATGACAGAAGGATCCTAACATATCCTAACATATCCTAACATGGTTGGTTATAAAGTTATATCATGTTATATCCCATTGATATTCACTGATTATGATGTATCCCATTATATGCTCGTTTTTATTCCATTATGGCCCCATTTCCAAAAAAGGATCGGACAGAGCCTTTGCAGGAGCCTTCGGCCAAGCGCCGTAAGTCGGAGGGGACTATGGGGACTATGGCCTGAGGCGCTATGATTTCGTATTGGGGTTGTATGGATTATAGCACTATCGACGAACTATCGACGAACTAAACATATCGAACAACTTTGTGGGGGTGGATCATCATTCTGGTTTGGTGTCAATATTCTTGCAATATCTTTGACATATGTTATACATGTATATACATGTTGTTTAGTATATGTTTAGTTATTCCTTATTTGGGATGCTGATACCCAATGACTCCGCGCGATCTTTGGGGATGAACCATGAATCGATAAACAGGCCATCGAGGCGTCGGTCAAGTCATGGGTTTAGGGTTTTCCCAGAAATGACATCCTTCAAAAAAGGCTCGATAGGGTCCTGGTTCCAGCACCTTTTTTTGCAGAGTTCTCTGGTGAGGGAAGTTTTGTTCGGGAACGAGTGGATGTTGATCGGAATCGACTGCTTCATGGCAAGTTGTGGAATTGCATAGAAATGGGATGAAGCTCAGATATTCTTCGAAAAGTTGCAAGTTAGACACGCTCCAAACAGAGCACAGACCACATTCCCGGAACCATGTCGTGCAGCCTTTGGCTGCGGGCTGTGTAGCCCTGAGCTCCCATGAAAGCAGGACGCAATGTAGATGATGTAGGGATAGACTCAACATTCCTGACTCCAAATTGGATGGTGTGGAATTTAGAACTAAACAAAGAACACTGCAATTCCCAGAGTCTTAGAATTTTGGCTATTTTTGAAAGCTTCACGGCCCCTTTTAGATTCAGTTGGCTGAAACAGACCTTCAAGTGGACAGCATTTAGGGCCCACAGAGGTCTTGAGCTGGGTTTGGTGCCCAGAAACTTAGAACTTTGGTTGTGAAAGCAGCTCTACTCGTACCCAACAGTCTCCTCTCAGGAATCTCCTCTTGGGTCAATGAAAGCTGTAAACCGTTTGGGCGCTGCTTGTCCCACGTGCGTTTGCGAATGTTATGTCCATGCTGCAAACAGGACTTTCGAGAAAGAAACAAAAAAAGAACTGCTGCAGACGCAGTGCCAAATGGTGTTGACCCATTCATCCACCCGAAAAATTCGGGTGCATGTGGTTATTTCGTAAACTGCAAGCGCGTCGTGTGCCTGGAGCCATGAATGTCTTAGCAGAATGTTTGGATGAGGACGTGGCCAAGAAGCTGTTACTTGGTGATCAGACGGGTGGATTGGTACGGATGAAATTTCATGACATTTGGGAGGGCTGATAAGGCTACGGCTACGGCTATCTAAGGTTTAAGACCTTCAAAAGTCACAGATGTTGCCTTTCTCTTTTCCGATCCAAGCCTGAATTGTGGATTGGTCTTCAAAATTTGGGGGCGATTGGGTCATGTGGTTTGCCAGGCATGCACAGCACAGCAGATCCATGTATATAGTATATCATACGTATCATTAGTTACAACTATACATAATACATACATACATACATATATATAATATAATATAATATAACGTGATATAATATAATTTAATATAATACAATATAATATAATATATATATATACTAAATATATATATTTATATTAATATATAATATTATACATATATATATTATATATATGATATACATGATATATATTGTATAAAATATATAATCTATATTATATAATCTATAAATTATATATATAATGTTTTATATATCATATATCATATATCATATATAATGTATATATAATATAATATAATATAATATAATATAATATAATATAATATAATATAATATAATATAGTGAAAGAAAATGAGGCACGAATTTTGTGTAGGACACATTTAAGTTTGAGGTGGTGGATGGCTTGAATTACGGGCCATTTTGGCTCAAGCCATCCACCTTTTAGGTACAATTCGATTTGGAGGCGCCATGAGGAACTATGTGGCCACCTCCTGCTACGGCATCCATCGACGCCGTGTTGAACTTCTTTGCGGTGCCATTGTCTTTGTGGGGGGCATTCTGTGCGGCAGTTGGAGACCCACAAGGAGATTTGCGACTGGTGGCCTGCATGCCACCAGCTATGGTGGCGGAGGCCTTGTCAGCCTGCCGCACCGATTCTGGCAGGCGGCTCACTCCAGTAGAAGCGATCCAACTGGGGCTGGTGTTCAGGGCCTGCCATCGCATTGTGCACCTTTCTTCAGGGAGCAGCCTGGCTTCATGGGTAGATCCGAATCCGTGGGAGACTACACCCTCGACGAGCAGCACGGCAAGGGAACAGGCTACCTCCTTGAATATGACGGCTACACCACAGGAGAGAAAGATGAAGCTGAGCCAGGTGGCAGATCAAGGGGACGAGTCGGAGTTTCCAATCATGCCGGAATCCAGCAAGGCGGCGTTCTACTCCCGCTACGTGGCCAAAGTGGGAGGCCTGCCGGCAGACTCGGAAGACCCTACAATAGAGCAACTGTCTGCCCTGCTGAGGAAGGTCAAGGTGCTGCATCAGCCCCCCTACTGCGACTTTGCAGTTTGGGTACCTTTTGCAAAGCGCCACATGAAAGCCCAGAAGTACCAGCAGTTTGTCCTCCAAGAGGATGGAACGTTTCTGTCAAAGCAGGTGCCAGGGCCCTCATGCTTTGCCCACTGGCAGGCATCGTTCCGCGTTCTGAGGACGGCCTTGGTGATGACGGACATCATCTCCATCTCGAACCTCATGGAGTGGGAGACAATGGTGGAGAGACTACATCGCCAGTATCCAGGTTGCTGGGGCTTGGTGGCAGCGGCGGAGGATCGTGGACGGGGCAAGTACATGACAAAGACTCTCGCCAAGATCCAGCTGGAGATGGACCAAGGAGGGCAACCACCATTGGGCTGGCGGAGAGAAGAACCCTGGGACATCGTGTGGGGCAAGGTACTTCGAGATCGAGATTACTGGTCAGAACAAGTTCATGTGCCGGCCATCGCATGTACCGCCAGGGGGCAGAAAGGAAAACCGCTGAGCCCAATGGAAGAGTTAGCAGAAGCGTCAATGCGAGGGGGGCGTCAAGCACTACAAGACACCGAGGAGCTGGAGGTGGAAGAATCGGAGTCGCAGAGAGGCCAGAAAGAAGAGAGTCAAAGCAGAAAGAGAGGAGCTCAACTCTTGGAGAAAAGGCGGCAAAGGTGGCGGAGGAAAGGCTTCTGGAGCAGCCCACGGAAAAGGGGCTACTTCAGAAGAGGCCTGTTTCGCCTGGAACAATGGGAATGGGTTGTGTGGCGGGCTAGCCCCAGGCGAGGCCTGCCGCGCAAAGACCCCCCGCAAGCACAAGTGCACTCAATGCGGGTCTCCTGGACACCCTTCGAAGGACTGCCCTTCCAAGAAGAAATGAAATGGTTCCTGAAGTTCATGGGGGTGATCCACATGGCAGGGGACGACAACCAGAAAGGAGGCGAGGGAAAGCCCGAGCCCAAAGAGGAAGGCAGAACAGTATCCAACAAGGAACTCCACCAGGGATTGAAGAAGGGCACGAAGAGGAAGAACCACTCGGGGGATGATCCAGGTGGAGAAGATGAACCTCCGAAAGACAAGGTGCACTTCAAGGGAAAATACATGACCTTCGAGGAGTACCTGCAGGCGAGGCGTTTTATTTTTCTTCACCATTTCAGTGGGCCCGTGGACAACCTGAGCACGGCGGTCAAGGAGGAGGACGGCGGTCAAGGAGGAGGCAGCCAAACTGGGGCTCAGGGTGGAGACGGTCTCCTCAGACATCACTACCGGGCATGACCTGTTGCAAGACCAACCATACAAGGCACAGAGGAGAGCGGCGGCAGAGGGAGACGTGGACGGCTACCACTCCGGCTTCCCTTGCACGACGTTCACAAAGCTGAGATGGAGGCCTTCACCAGGACTGCCTGGACCTGTGAGATCGCAGGACTACCCGTACGGCTTCCCGGATGCCAACGAGCGAGAAGAGGAGGAGTGCAGGAACGGCACAGTGATGATGGCCAGGTCAGCTGTCATTGTGGACGCCATGTACAAGGCCGACAGGTTCATGAAGGTCCCGGGTTTTGCTACGTTGGAGAACCCACCACCCTCGGATGTACCTGGACACATCTCGGCGTGGCACATGCCGGAGATCATCTCCTTGGTGGACAAGGTGCCGGGCTGGAAATGTGCACATTTCAACACGTGTGCATACCAGTCTGAATTACCAGAGGGGACCAGGCACTTCAAACCACAGATGATTGGAGGCACACTACATGGCATCGAGGAGCTCAACAAGACGTGCCCGTGTGGGAGGAGACCGCATGAACCCATCATAGGGAAAGAGAAGTCCAAGAGGTCGGCAGCCTACCCACTGGAGTTCTGCGTCGCCTACGGCAAGTTGGCAGCGAAGCGCTTTTACAAGATTGCGCAGGCGGAGTTCTTGGAGGGCAGACTGGTGCTGTTGCAGGACAGGGTGAACCATCTGAAAGGTGCCACTGCAGACACCGTTCAGGAGACGGAAGACATTGAGGCAGCCACCAAGAAGGTCATCGAGTCAGAGGACTACCAGAGGGGTTTGCAGGCAAAGAGGAAGAGAGAAGGCCAAGACACAACCTCAGGAGCTGGATCTCTTGGAGCAACAACCTCATCCTATGCCTCGTCGTGGAAAGGGGGCACAGGCAAGCATGGCACGTTCAAAGAGCCCAAAGCGAAGACGGAAGTGCCCAGGGCCCTGGTCTACATTGGGGGCATGAGGGATCCTCACCGAGCAGTTGTGAAACTCCCCACATTACAGAGCCAAGGTCTGAAGTTGTGGCGGGCATGGGAAGAGTTTGTCAAGAAACATCCAAAGGCTACCGAGGTGGCAGAGACCTACGGCACGGACGGCTGCGAGTACAACCAGGACATTTTGGAGAAGTGGAAGCACGAACTCTGCGAGCTCTGGGACTGCCCCGGGGCGGGAGTGTCGCTGGTGCCCAGGGGCGAGTACAAGCCACCAGTCCACCACAACATGCTGAAAGCCTGGATGAAGAAGTCAGGTGAACCGGATGTGCACGTTGCGGAGTGGTTGCAACACGGCGCCCCGCTGGGCATCGAGAAGAAGATTCCTACCGCAGGCATCTTCCCACCTTCAGATGAACAAGAAGGAGATCCCAGGGACTACGTGGCGGATGCGGTGTTGGAGAGACCGAGCACCCTGAAGAATTACAAGTCAATCGAAGACGACATTGAAGAGGCAGACATCGAGCTCAAGCGCTACGAGGACTTGGGCTACTTGAAGCGCATCGACGTCGCTACTGCAGGCGAGGTGTACAAGGGTGGAACCATAAGCAAGCTGGGCCTGGTCTTGAAGACCAAAGAAAATGGAGAGAAGAAAAGGAGGATAGTCATCGACCTCCGAAGGAGCGGAGGGAACGGCAAATCGTTCCTTCCAGAGAGACTGGTTTTGCCGAGACTCACGGATGCGGTGAAGATGATCAGAGAGATCAGAAAGAGGGCCAACTCCACGGGCGAAAGCAAGGAAGAGGTGGAGTTGGAGCTGGCGCTCGTGGACGTCTCAGACGCGTTCACGGTCCTTCCCGTCCATCGTGATGAACTCAAGCACACACTGACCCCCTCGACGAAGCCGGACGAGATGTTGGTCTTCCAGGCACTCCTCTTCGGCTACAAGGTGGCCCCCTTGCTCTACAGCAGGTTCGCTTCGGTGCTGGCAAGAATGCTGCAGGCGGGGGGACGTCTAGACCGAGGGGGCCACCAGGTCTACCTGGACGACAGCCTGTGGGTGTTGCAGGGGAGCCTCGAGACGAGGAACAAGACGCTGGGCTTCATACTCAACACCATGGGCTGCCTGGGAGTCAGAGTAGCACTGAAGAAAGGGGCGAGGGCTAACAACGCAAACTGGATCGGCATCTCCCTCAACTTGGTGGACAAGGACACCCTGGTCGTGGGCTTGCCGGAGAAGTTCATATCCGAGATGCAGGGGATGCTGGAGAAATGGGAAGGGGCTGGCTACGCGGCCTTGAAGGAGCTCAGGACAGTAGCTGGCAAGGCAGCCTGGCTGGGGGGCGTGTTGCCGCGAGCCCGCTGGGTGACCAGCGTCTTCTACGCGGTCTTGGCGCAGACGCTGAAAGAGGACGAAGCACCCCAAGAGCAGAAATCAGGGGTGAGGAATCGCAAGGGCCTCTTTGCGGTCAAGCGGCTGGAGATGGCGAGACTTTGGATGATCAGCTTTCTCAAGGCGGCGAAGCTGAGGCCTATGCGAAGGATTTCGCTCACCACCGGGAACCTGGCCGAGATCAAGCTGGTCACGGACGCATCTCCAGAAGCGCTAGGGGGGCTGCTGGTCATCAACGGCAAGATCATGGCAGCCTACTTCAGCACAATGGAGGAGAAACAGACCCAGGAATTGCTAGTGGAGTTCAAGTCCTCCTCATCCCAAGCGGTACTGGAGGCCCTAGCAATCCTGGTGGGAATGAGAAGGTGGAGCGAGAAGCTCAAGGGCATGGCAGTGCAGTTGGTGGTGCAGAGCGACTCCATCACGGCACTGGCGCTGACACAGAAGCTCTCGGCAGGCAGCTCCAGCCCGGGCCTGAATTTTCTGGGCGCGGAGTTGGCTATTTGCTTGGAGGAGCTGGCCATAGAGGAGGTGAGGTCTCACCATGTGCCTGGGAAAGCGAATGAGGAGGCTGACTTCTTGTCGCGCCCCAGCACGTGGCAAGAGGTGTCTATGCCGGACTCACTTATCGGCGTGGACATCCAGGCGGAGAACGGCCCAGGCGAGCACTTCTATCGGCTGCCTACCCCACGCGCGGCACCGTCGCTGTGGGGTACCAAAGGCGAGGCGGCCGGAGGAGTAGCGATGTGGGAAGCCGTGATCTGAGAGCCCGCGGCAGACTCCAAGACGACCAGAATTTGTGGGTCGCAAAAAGGGAGATCGGCCGGATAGAAGGGAGGCGGGCATAAGTTTGTCTTCTTGGTTACTGTTTGTTCCCCCCCCCTTCTTTTCTTCTCCCCCTGGTGCTGGGTGAAATCGTTTCAGGTGTACTTCACTCCGCAGCCGGGCTCAAACATGGTCGCCCCTGACGACCCTCTGACCTTGGCGGGGTGGGACATTTTCTTTTGGCTAGTCTTGACCGGACTGGCCTCCCACTTAGCTGCGGTGCTATGGCTTTGCAAAGCTTGCTGGACCTCATCAGGATGCCGGAGGCAGACACTGAAGGTCTACCCCACGGGCAACCGGGTCGAAGCGGGAGCGAAGTGGGTCAAGGGGGAGGACTTCCAGCTCAGCTTTCCTTCGACGAGAGGCTCGCGGGAGACCCAAAGAGGCAAGGGTTTGGCGAGCTTGATACGGAGAAGGTAGAAGGCTGGCAGAACACAAGAGGTTTGGCTTCGGAGACATATGAGGAGTTGAACCTCTTCGGACACCAGGGCGACCAGAGCTGGGGGACGGTCCAACTACATCAACGTCAAGGTCTTCTACCTGGGCCCCAAGATCACGGTCATCGAGGTCCTCCTTCTGGTCAAGGCCTACTACCTGGACTAGGAGGGCAAGCAAGGCGAAATCACATGGAAGGCGACATGGGCGAGTGGACGCCCTCTAGATTGGGGGCTGCCTGGGGCATTCAAATCCTTGGCAGCCCCTCCAAAGCGGAGATGGCGGAGACGCCAGCGGTGAAGAGGAGCGCCTGGGACGCGCTAAGAGGCTGGATGAGTCCCTCCAAGAAGCCACACAAATCGCCACCCATGGAGGCGCCAAAGAGGCTGGATTTACCGGTGTTGAAACACCATGCGAAGGGCAAGAAGAAGCAGGATAAGTTCCTACTGGCCTTAGCCTCGGCAAAAGCGCTCAGGGGCAGGAACTTCAAGAACCCATCCATCGAAAAGGATTTCTGCGCGGCATCGTCGTTGGGCTCCAAGAATGCTAAGAAGAGGACCGTGGCGAAGATCCTGGAATCGTTCAACTCACCTGGGCCTCCTCTACCTCTCACAGCAGACACCCTCAAAGGACTGGCATCAGCTCTGTCCGACGGGGGCTACAAGGCAGGGGAGGGCTATGTGGTGGAAGCTAAGTTGTGGCATGTCGAGGAAGGACATGCGTGGTCAGATCTGCTAGACCGAGTCTTCAAACAATGTAAGAGGGCCCTAGCCAGGGGGCAGGGGCCCAGGAAGAAGGCAGCAGAGGTGCCTCTGGAGGCAAGGCACAAACCAAACAAGTTGAACTTCAGCAAGACGGAGAAAGCAGTGAAATTCGGGAAAGAGCTCTTCGTCTTCAGTGTGGTTTGGATGCTGCGGGAGATAGAGCTCGCGGCACTGTGCACCAACGACCTCACGATTGACCACACTTCGAAGAGGGTGAGCCTGTACCTGAAGATGAGCAAGATGGATGCGTCGGGCAAAGGCGTCACTCGCACCCTACAGTGCCTCTGCGTGGGGAACGACTGCGGCAAGGAGTGCCCCTACGGTGTCACTACTGATTTGGTGTGCGCGGTGGAGAAGTTCAACGGCACGGGATCGCCGCTGATGCTGATGAAGGACAAGCAGGCAGCCACAAAGGCCCAGATCATCAAGACGTGGAGGTGGTTGTTTGGGCAGGAGGTGTCGGGCCATTCAGGGAGAAGGTCAGGCGCTTTGTCTTACATCAGGGCGGGATGGTCCATATCGCAAGTAGCGCACCTGGGGAGATGGAAGTCAAGTGCAATCCTTCAATACGCCGAAGAAGCGCTGGAACAGATGCCGGCAAATTTGCACCTACCGAACACGACGGTGGGCGACACGGGCGTGATCGAGACGAAGCTGCACCAAGTCTCCGAGGAAGAGTTGAAACTCTGGAAGAAACAACTCAGGGAAGAGATCAAGCTGCTGAGGGAGGACATGGACAAGAAGGAAGCCGACCAAGAGGTGATGCTGGACTACTGGGCGAAGTTCTACAAGGAGAACCCGGGGACTCTTCCCAAGAAAGTTCAGAGCTCGACCAGTAAAGTTATCCACATCAATCTCTCAAAGTCGGCGGCATCCCCACCTTTGACATGGAAAACGGCCTGCGGATGGGGCTACTATGGCAGCAACTTCGTGTTCCAAGACGCGGAAGCGGTGGTCACATGCCAGAAATGCCTGGGGCTTTGCGCGCGAACGCAATGAGGACAAAGATGGCAAAGCCCTATTTTGGGGCCAACCCAAGGGTGAGTGAGATTTTTCAAAGGAAGAATGGATGGAATTTCCACTCAGTCCATCCAGGCCAAACCGGCCAAATCAGCAGCACGCTTCCAAAAGAAATGCGTACATGTCTGAGGGTGGGTGGTGGAAACTGCTGTGTCGTGAAAGAAAATGAGGCACGAAAATTTGTGTAGGACACATTTAAGTTTGAGGTGGTGGATGGCTTGAATTACGGGCCATTTTGGCTCAAGCCCATCCACCTTTTAGGTACAATTCGATTTCCCACCCACCCACGCCTAAGAGAGGTGTGGGAGGACAAAGATGGCAAAGCCCTATTTTGGGGCCAACCCAAGGGTGAGTGAGATTTTTCAAAGGAAGAATGGATGGAATTTCCACTCAGTCCATCCAGGCCAAACCGGCCAAATCAGCAGCACGCTTCCAAAAGAAATGCGTACATGTCTGAGGGTGGGTGGTGGAAACTGCTGTGTCATATAATATAATATAATATAATATAATATAATATAATATAATATATTAAATATATAATATTATATATATATGATATATATGATATATGTGATATATATTGTATAAAATATATAATCTATATTATATAATCTATAGAATTATATATATAATGTTTTATATATAATATATCATATATCATATATAATGTATATATAATATGTATAATATAATATATATATATATTTTAATATAATATAATATAATATATATATATTAAATATATAATATTATATATATGATATATGTGATATATATTGTATAAAATATATAATCTATATTATATAATCTATAGAATTATATATATAATGTTTTATATATAATATATCATATATCATATATATTGTATTTATAATATGTATAATATATATATATTAAATATATATATATTAAATATATATAGATATTAAATATATAATATTATAAATATATATATATGATATATATTCTATAAAATATATAATCTATATTATATAATCTATAGAATTATATATATAATGTTTTATATATAATATATCATATATCATATATAATGTATATAGAATATGTATAATATAATATATAATAATTATATATATATTATAATGGCTCGAAATAGGGGTGCCCATGGCTGTCCCAAGCCTTTCTTGTGAGTTGAAACATAGAACGTCCGCAAGGCTGGATCTGAGGGGATCCTCCCAATTTGGGAGGGGTAAACCTGCATTGTTTGCTTGTGAAATCCCATGAAATCCCCATTTGCTGATGGTTAGGTCCCCATTTGATGGACATTGCCCTTATGGTGTATTATATCCGCATTGCTTCTATAAAAACAAGCCCTAAATAGAACACATCGCCTTATTGTTCATCATCAAATTGCCCTAAACCAGATCAACTCGTGAGCTTGAAATCCATTCCCACATGGTGTTTTCGTTTTTTTTAATCCCCATTAGATGTGTGTGTTTTTGCCATTAAATTGGCCCGAACATTTTGAGCGAAATTTCCCATCACCAGGCAGAAGCGCTGTGAGCCCGAGGAGTTCAAAGCGCTATGCGCCTTGGCGGAACAGTCCTGCGTCATGGGCATCGATTACAGGTGCACCGAGCCAATGGGATGGGGATGGGACTTGGGAGCTTGAGAAATGGTGGAGTTGCCTGGAGTTACCCTATGAAATCGCGGTTTTGATATGTTGATGAGGAAAATGAGGAGACAGCCACGGATGAAATGGTGCTTATACCCTTCATTTGCACTCGTTGAATGAGAAGAATGAGCATAGACGATGAAAAACGATGAAAAACGGTGGTATCCTATTTTTGGACAAACCTGTTTCGACCAGGGGCTCAGACCACATCATACCTTGCAGGAAACAAGCGTGGTAATGGAAAATTGCATTATTATCATCATCATCATCATCATCATGTTTGATGGGAAAGACAACAGTGATATAGCTGGAGAATATGGCAATAGGTCATTAAATTACATGAAATCTAATTAATCTGACACATCATTTAAAATAAGTAATATATATATATGTATAATATATACATACACGTAACAATGTTTTTTTCTACCTTCTAGCATTCTGCAACATTTGGTGACATGATATACCCCTGCTTATCACTAGCATGGGCCCACAAAAAAGGCTGTCAGTTATTCTGCTTGGTGTAAACTTCGGGTGGGCACTGGATCCATGTGGATGCGGCAATTCATGGTTGATCATGGGAATGTGATGGGATTTGTTTCCGGGGGATACTCCTAAAGTGTGTATCACAAACAAAATGAGGAAAATGCCCTGGATTCTCCTGGATTTATCTGTGGCCGCCACCAAACAAGCCCATTTCTTGAGATTTGCATCTGACATCATTTGACCTGTTTGTAGATTTTGTAGCGCTATCAGCATCTCTTCCTTGCAGAACTGGAGTCTTGGAAACGGTGCAACGTGCTTTGTTCCATGTCACCCCATCAAGACATTGTTTTTGGCGAACACATGCCTGAAATTTGATCTTCAGCTATCATGGTTCGATTTTTCAGCCTTTACACTCGTTGCTTCTTCAGGACCTCGCAACAGGGTTGCTCCAACCCATTAATTATACATAGGCAAATGATAGCCACAAGGGTGGTAAATGGTTCATTTTACCTTTGATTATATTTACCCCATTTACCCCCCTTGAACCTTGGGTGTTTGGAGCAACCCT